GTAGATAGGGGGATGCAGTTATGGTTAAGTGAGGTAAGGTAGTTTAGTTTTAGAGATTCAATTTCATGGATTACTGCACCAAATTGAGCTAATTAGGTCTGTTCCTTATGACTAGATGACTGCCTACTGTATGAGTAAACTATGCAGCTGGATGTCAAAAGAAGTGCTGGAGTGCTTACTTACTACTTCTTCAGTCAGAAACAGACTGAAAACAAAACATTAAGGAACAGAAAGAGGTCATGCTGTGAATATTTTATACCACTACAGGTCACCACTTCTGATCACACAATCTGTCCGTATGTGCATCTTGCTCCCTTAAGCAGCAGCTCATTTCACTTGAAGAACAGAACACACTGATCACAAGGGCTTCCAAGTACACAGGTTAGCAAACATCCACTTTTTTTTTTTTTCCCTAATCAACAGTCAGCTCTGCTCTGTTAACTTCTGTTTGAGGGCAGAGTAGTACTTTTTATTGATTACCAAAAGCACACTAAGTAGGTAAGCATTTGATGTGTTTCTTAGCAAGCTCACCTTAAGTTCTTATCTTTCAAAGCTTTTACTTGTGTCCCGACCAGCATTCATCATTATCTTACCCAAGTGCTTAACTGGAAAACTAACACTTCACTGCTCTGCCAGGCAGCAGTCACCAAGGAGAACCCAGGAAGCCCAGGGAGGTTGTGGAGTCTCCTTCCCTGGAGACATTCAAAACCTGCCTGGACACATTCCTGTGTAACCTTATCTAGGTGTTCCTGCTCCAGCAGAGGGATTGGACTAGATGATCTTTCGAGGTCCCTTCCAATCTCTAGCATACTGTGATACTGTGTGATACTGTGAAGCCAGTATTTCCAACAAAAAATGTGAACTGCACTGAAGTGAGCTATTCTGTGCCAATCCCAGGAAGAATTCTGCACAGTTAGTATTTAGGTCACATCAACAGCTGATCAAACACCCTCCTCTACCTTCTGAGGCCTCCAAAAGGCAAGTTTAAATTGAAGAAAAGAGAATAACAAAGGTTTGCTTATGTTATTTTCTCAGTCAGACTAGGCTTGGTCTCTGGCAAACTTCTAATACTGCACTTTAAATTGCACAAAGAAAGTATCTTAAGAAACAGAGGCAAAAATTCTGCTACTTACCTGTTAACTAAAGAAAGCAAATACTGTGATCTGGATGAATTGCAATGAGTGCAAGTGCCTCAATGCACTTCACATGCCACTTCTTTTATAAACTTTATGAATCACTTTTAACATAACAGGCACATTTGCCAGAGTTCAAACCCAACATTCTATGAGGGACTTCGCAACACTTAAAGAAGGAGATAACACATATTTGCCAGGGTAGAGAATGTCCAAGTTACCGGATGGACTGACAACTTATTTTCAAATACAGTCTCTCTATATGGAGGTAGGCAGTAGTTTTCAGTGGTGATAACTTGTAAAATAAAATAATAAGTTAATTATTACCAGCTAACCAGTTTAATGTCTGATGACAAGGTGCCTTTTGATGTTTAAGAATCCTTGAAGAACACTCTCCACAGTGTTATTAAGTATAGGCATTACGAGGTCTTCAGCTAGTCACAGCTAATTGTCACTGCAGAATCAGCCCTGCTTTTATTTGGAGCATGCTAAAACAAGAAAAGATCAGGTTTAGAGATTAAGAAAAACACATATGCACACAGGTCTTCAGCCCATCTTAATTTTAGATTACCAGGAAAGTCTTTTTGTTCACTGCGAACTTACATCATTTCAGCTCCATGATTGTGTTTAATCATACTTAGCCTGTGCAGAAAGCTATACTGAAGCTTTTATCCTCACAACAGGATTCAAGTAGGTTTTTTCTAGCTTACCACCCATCAGCTACCATAGTTAGAACAAAGACTCTGACAGAAACACAACCATTAAGAACTCACAGTGCTCTAGAAATGAAGTGCTGCAACAAACCCAGTATGCTTCTTCTCCCACCTTAAGGGAGAAGGTATTTATTTACTTTATTTAGGTACTAGCTTTCTCTTCCTCTCTTCCCCTCTCATAGGGCTACACCATACACCTACCCACCAATTCAGGGCCCCACAGACAAAAAAAAAAAACAAAACAATCTAACAAAACATGGATACAAATAAATGACTGCCTTTGATGTTCATCAGCAATCCACTCACCAGGGAACTTCATTACAACTCAGCAAATGCTTTGTTAAAACTTGAAAGTTGTCAAATAAAAATTAAAACAATTCCTGCTAAGCAAGACAACATATTATCCACTATGAAAACTGCACTAGCTGCTGCCACTGCAAATTTACCAGCTGAATCAGGGGGTGAAGATAATAGTTTCCAGACACACAAGGAAAAGCTTACATGGCACACTGCAAAAAACTAAACTCCCTTGCTTAGAAAGAACAACATTCTGTTTATTCAACCAGATTTCTCCAAAAATCCATTAACAATTACACATGTTCATTAGTGCTCTGACACATAAGCAGTGCCATGAGCAGCCAGGCCCACAGCTGAAGAATCCACTTGCTCAATCAAACACATCTCTCTCAGATTGCCCACAGTGCCATCATCATTAGCTGTATCAGCATTTATTACTCAGCATTAGAAAATGAGTAATGATAATACAATTCTTGTACCAGGTCTGAAAGATCACTACCCAATGGAAACCAATGTTCCCTTAATATTCTCAACTTCTCTGATTTACATTGCTAATAACCAGATATTTATCTTAGTCAACCTCAGCAATAGATACTAACAGCCTATAGTACTGGCAGGCAACTTCTCTGAGCACTCTTTCTTTCTACAGGATGCACCAATAAACCAGTTCTCTGCCATCATAGCTTATATTTAAATACAGACCGAGAATGTTTCATAGTTTATCCAGAAGCACATCTTAAAATATTTAATGCAAGTGTATGGTGCAAGCATGTACACTGTACTTTGTATCCCCTATAAAAATCAATGAAACAAGAAGTAAGCAAAACCAGTAAACCCTAGGAGCAATCAAATCATCTAAGCAATCTAACATGCAATACACATCAAGAACTGCTGTAAGAACAGCCAGTGGCAGACTGTATCCTAAAACACAAGGATTTGTTTTTCATTGAGTCACAGAATGAACGAGGTTTGGAAAAGACCTTCAAGATCACCAAAAGTCAAACTGCTCCCCAGTACTGCCAAGGCCATCACTAAACCATGTCACTGAGGGCCTTGTCTACACAGTTTGTGAACACTTCCAGGGATGGTGATTCCAGTACAGCCCTGGGCAGTCTGTTCCAGTGCCTGACCACCCTTCTGGGGAAGAAACCGTCCCTAATATTCAATCTAAACCTATCCACTGGCGCAGGTTGAGGCCGTCTCCTCTTGTCCCATCCCTTGCTCCTTGGGAGCAGAGACCAGTCACCTCCTAGCTCCATTCCCCTTTCAGGTAGCTGTAGAGAGCAATAAGGTCCCCCCTGAACCTTCTCTTCTCCAGACTAAACACCTCCAGTTCCCTCAGCCATTCCCCATCACACTTGTTCTCCTGGCCCTTCACCAGCTCCATTGGCCCTCTCTGGACCCGCTCCAGCTCCTCATGTCTCTCCTGTAGTGAGGGGCCCAGAACTGAACACATGATTCCAGGTGTGGCCCCACCAATGCCCAGTACAAGGGGATTATTTTCTTTCATTACCATTTTCCATTTCCAGAGAGTGAATTCGCTTATGCTGCTGAGGCTGTATAATCTTCCCCGCACAAAGTTTCTCTCGCACATGACAGCTTATCAGTTCTGAAGTAAACAAGCCCCTCTTCAGGTCCGGAATAAAATTCAGCGCTGAATACTTAGTACGTTTTCCTCAACAGAGATACACATCTGTGCCACACCAGGCAAGACAAAAGTCCCTGACACCTACATGACGGAGCCGATCGCGGCAAAAGGAACACTAACGAGCCATCACCCGCGGGGGCAACCGCGACACCGGACGCATCAGGACTAGGCCCAGCTCCCGTTCAGCCCCCACCCGGCCGGGAGCCTCGGGAGGCGGCCGGACCCGAGTGCCAGGGCCGATGCCAGGAATGGCGGACCGGGAAGGCCGCAACTGGAGCAAGTTAGGGGTCTGGAAAGCCGCCCGGTGGCACGATACCGACGACTGCACCGGGCCTCGCACTCCCAGCCCTCAGCCCCACCACGGCTGTACCAGCCCCGCACCCACAATCTCACCCCAGAGGGGGCCGATGCAGAATCGGAGAACCACCCCGCTTACCTCGGGAGCTGCCCCTCCTCTGCGCACCCAGCCACCGCTCGCACGGCCACGCCCCCACACGCCTGCGTAGTCGCGGCGCGGGCAGCGGGAGCAGGTGAGGCGGGAAAGGAGCGGAGCCGGCCTGTGATTGACGCGGCCAACATTCGCGGTATCGGAATCGGCCGGCAGAGGGCGCAACCCACGCTGGGACACTTCCCTTGACGTCACCCACGTGACGTCACGGTAGCGCCACCTCGTCTGGGAATTAGCGTGACATTGATTATGCCTGGTTGTTTCGCCAAAGCAACAGGCACCATGCTGCTTCTGCAACACTGGAGATGGCAGCAGCAAACGCTCTAGCGTGGGTTGGTACTCTGATTTCATCACAGGACATTTTTAAGTATTTCATAGAATTACAGACTGGTTTGTTTTGGACCTTAAAGCTTATCCAGTTCCAAACCCCTGCCACGGGCAGGGACACCTTCCACTGCTCGAAGACCTGTCAAGTCTGTCCTTGAATACTGCCAGGGATGGGGCAGTCACAGCTTCTCTGGGCAACCTGTGCCAGGGCCTCACCACCCTCACAGGGAAGAACTTCTGCCTAAGAGCTCATCTCAGTCTCCCCTCTGTCAGGTTAAAGCCATTCCCCTTGTCCTGTCCCTACAGACCCTTGTCCAAAGACCCTCTAAAGCTTTCTTGCCACCCCTTTAGGCTCTGGCAGCTGCTTTAAGGTCTCCCCACAGTTTTCTCCAGGCTGAACAATATTCTTCCACAACATCCTTTTTTTTGAAAAAAAAAAAAAAAATAGATTTATTGCCACAGATGGCTATATAGAGATCACCACAGTTTCATCTGCTTTTCCACGTGAATCATTTTCTTCACAGTGTGTAATCTCAGAGGGCCAGGAGTGTGATTTTTGAAGCATTTTAACCGGATTTTCACGGTTTTGCACTGTGAACTGGGGAAACACTGCTTTGCAAGCAAAGGTTTTGGCAGCAGGCACATTCGGGGCCGATGACTCCTGTATTTTGTACTAATGATTACATTAGCATCCCGTTTCCTGTATCCTGTTCCGAATCATCTTCTCTTGCCTCAATTGCTCAAGCTAGCATGTAGCTAACCTTTCTTTGATGAGCCAGAGCCTCCTCTTTGTCATTTACCTGAGTATTTATTTAAAAGAGGAAGAAAAGAAAGTAGTTTATAAGCTAAGAAAAAGCATTTTGTGTAAAATGACAGATTTGGACTCATGATGAATATCTAACAGAACACTAACCAGATCTATTAACATCTTCAGGATTTCATTAGGATTGTCCAGCTCTTTAACTTTCTTCCCATCCGCCTCTGATGAGAGCAGGCTGGATAGTTTTTTGTCCCAGACTGCTCTTGTTCCCTTGTAACTTGATGTGCCCTAAGGAAAATAGAAGTACACAAACTGTGGCATTACTGAGAAAAACTTCCTAAAGAACTGTGGAACTAAGCACCCTGACTAATTTCCTCTTAAAGGGCAATGCAGTCTACAGCTTCTCTCATTTTAAGGAAAAAAAAAAAAAATATATATATATATATATATATATATATATACTCTTTGACATAAGCTGCTCAAGAGATTCTAAGATTTCTAAAAAGGTTAGAATACATACATTACACAAATTTAATGCATCAGTATATAGAGCTTGGAAACAATGATGTCGGTACTCAAGATGTGTGCTGGTTTAGTATTACATGACAAGGGTGCTCAAGGAATTTAGGCTGGGGGAAGTGAGGTGTTTAGTCTGAAGAAAAGAAGGTTCAGGGGGGACCTTAATATTCTCTACAACTACCTGAAAGGAGGAAGAAGCCAGCAGGTGGCTGGTCTCTGCTCCCAAGGAACAAACAATACGACAAGAGGAAACAGCCTCAAGCTGCACCAGGAGATGTTTAGACTGGCTTTTAAGGACAATTTCTTCCCTGAAAGGGTGGTCAGGCATCGGAACAGGCTGCCCAGGGCTGTGGTGGAATCACTGTCCCTGGAGGTGTTCAGAAACTGTGTAGATGAGGCCCTCAAGTGACATGGTTCAATGATGACATTGGCAGTACTGGGAGCGCTTGGACTTGATGATCTTGAAGGTCTTTTCCAAACCTGGTTGATTTTGTGATTCTTTGCTTCTAAGACCCACCTCAAAGCAACACATGTCCAGGTCAATGGCTAACACAAATATATCTTAAAGCGCCATTCCTAAATTCTGCTATGGTTTTGACCATGACAAAAGCACTTAAGTACTTATCTTTATCCTTTATCTTTAATAAGGAAAGGATCATTGGAATTCTTCCTCTTTTACAAAGGGCTTTGTAACTCGTAACATACGAGGTGTAAGAATAACAATAAATACTCACATAGATACACAGAATCATGGAATAGTCAGGGTTGGAAAGGACCTTAGATCATCTAGTTCCAGCCCTCCTGCCATGGGGAAGGACACCTCACACTAAACCATGTCACCCATGACTCTGTCCAGTGTGGCCTTGAACACTGCCAGGGATGGAGCATTCACCACTCTTGGGCAACCTGTTCCAGTGTCTCACCACCCTCACAGTAAAGAACTTTTTCCTTATATCTAACCTGAACTTTTCCTGTTTAACTTTAAACCTCTTACCCCTTGTCCAATCACTACAGTCCCTAATCAAGAGTCCCCTCTCCCTTGTAGGCCCCCTTCAAATACTGGAAGGCTGCTCTAAGGCCTCCACACAGCCTTCTCTTCTCCAGGCTGAACAGCCCAAACTTTCTCAGCCTGTCTTCATATGGGAGGTGCTCCAGCCCCTGATCATCCTTGTGGCCCTCCTCTGGACTTTCTCCAACAGCTCCATGTCCTTCTTATGTTCCAGACACACCAGAACTGTACTCCAAGTACATGCATAATAAAAACCTAGAAATGTCTCATAAAACAGAAAAAAACCAACCCCAATTATTTAGTATGTCATTGAAAGCTCAGTGTGTGTATATATATATATACACACATATACACACACACACACACATACATATATATATATAATTTCTTCTCCTTCCCTAACTCCTACATAGAGCTCACTTGAAAAAAAACCTATCAAGGTAAATCACAGAATCACAGTATCAACTAGTTTGGAAAAGGCCTTTAAGATCACCAACAAGTCCAACTACTGACTTGTTGACAGCATCTAAACAGGTCAGGCTAAACTTGCCAGATGTTATCTTTTTTGTGTTGTTCTCATAATAAACATCTAATATCCAGAATGTTATTGTCAACCTAGGCTACCGTTTATTTATTCCAGCATGTTTTTAATCAAGTAGTACAGGTCATGAAAGTGTAATAAAAAAAGGTTACATTAAAAGCCTAGACTGATAGCTCCAATGTAGTATTCATATATCCCACTTACACGCAGATACTCTACATTATATGTGCAAAACTTCTGGTAGGAATTCCTCAATGACATGGCAAACTATTTAATGTATTTACAGTTTTGACATAACTTCGTTCCTTTTCTTCCTCGACTTCATAAACCTCAGTCAGCAATTAAACCACAGACATACATCTAGTATAGTAAGAAAGTCTGCTTGTGCCACTTGTTACCTAACTTCTGCAGCCAATCATTACTGATACATAGCATGTCCAGTTACCATCGTATTTCAGACGTCTCCAGTTTATAAATCTTGTTTCCTTCTTAATCTTTATCACTTCTGCAAGCCTCAGGGCTTGGTCCTTCCTCTGCATTAGCTGCTGCTCAAATGCAATCCTGAAAGTATCTGCCATTATCTGCCATAAAGCTTCATCTTTACTCTTCTTCAGATTTTCACCCTGTTTTTAATTCACTGAAAATTTAAGGTGTATTAAGCAATTTGGAAGCAAGAGCAGATCTAAATTTTATATGAAGAGACAGACTGAAACCATCAACACAGGCAACTTTTACAAAAGTATAATCAAAGAAGTAGTAGAAACCAAAGTGCTTTCTCATCAAGTTAAGAAATAGATTTTGTAATGTGTATTGAAGTCCTTACTCTTCCTTTTCTATGCATGCATACATCACTACCCATCTACACAGACAAGCTGCCAGCAATGACTGTTTATCTCTGGACATGCAGAACAGCTTGAGGAGAGTATTAATGTCCCATGCCAATTGAAAATTCTAGGTCAGGGGTAATAACCATGGTACAAAAGGGATATGACAGTACTTATTTTCAAAACAAGTCAGTCACTGGAACTTCTGCAGTGGGACCGCTAGGATACTTTCCACATCTATAGAGTCAAATAAGAACTAGAAGAAAAATTCTAAAACTATAGAATTCACAGTATCACAGTATGTTAGAGATTGGAAGGGACCTCAAAAGATCATCTAGTCCAATCCCCCTGCCGGAGCAGGAACACCTAGATAATGTTACACAGGAATGTGTCCAGGCGGGTTTTGAATGTCTCCAGGGAAGGAGACTCCACAACCTCCCTGGGCAGCCTGTTCCAGTGCTCTGTCACCCTCACTGAGAAGAAGTTTCTTCTCAAGTTTAAGTGGAACCTCTTGTGTTCCAGTTTGTACCCATTACCCCTTGTCCTATCATTGTTTGCCACTGAGTAGAGCCTGGTGTCCTGGGTTCAGCAGTAGCAGTCATGTTTTTCCTTTGTGGTAGCTGGTGCAGTGCTGTGTTTTGTCTTCCAGCCTGGGAACAGTGTTGGTGAAGCCGATGTTTTCGGTTGTTGCTAAGTGATGTTTACCCTGACCAAGGACTTTGTGAGGCTCATGGTCTACCAGGGAGGAGGGGAAGCCGTGAGGAAGCAGAGATGGGGCACCTGACCTGGGCTAGCCAGGGAGGTATTCCATACCACAGCACGTCATGCCGGGGTGGGGGGTAACTGGGAGTTACCCGGAAGGACACGGGTTCCAGGTGGGACTCGTTTCTTGGCCGGTGGTATCGTATTCTCTTCCCTTGTTATTTTCCCTTATCATTGTTGTAGTTGGTAGTAGCGGTGGTGATCTGTGTTGTACATTGGTTGCTGGACTGTCCTTGTCTCAACCCGTAGGAGTTGCACTCTTTCGATCCTCCTCCCCATTCCTCCAGGAGCAGGGAAGGGGAGAGCCCCGGTGGGGGGGGGGAACGGCCCTCGATTGTTGTCAGCTCGGCACCACTCACTGGGAATGAGTGAACAAGTTGCCTGATGGGGTTTAAACCACGACACCTGGCTCCATCCTCGTGACACTCCCCCTTTATATATTTATATACACTAATAAGGTCACCCCTCAGTCTCCTCTTCTCTAAACTATAGAGACCCAGCTCCCTCAGTCTTTCCTCATAAGGAAGATGCTCCACTCCCTTAATCATCTTAGTTGCCCTGCGCTGGACTCTCTCCAGCAGCTCCCTGTCCTTCTTGAACTGAGGGGCCCAGAACTGGACACAATATTCCAGGTGCGGTCTCACCAGGGCAGAGTAGAGGGGAAGGAGGACCTCTCTCGACCTACTAACCACCCCCCTTCTAATACACCCCAGGATGCCATTGGCCTTCTTGGCCACAAGGGCACAGTGTTGGCTCATTGTCATTCTGTCTTCCACTAGGACCCCCAGGTCCCTCTCCCCTACACTGCTCTCTAACAGGTCGTTCCCCAACCTATACTGGAACCTGGGGTTGTTCCTGCCCAGATGCAGGACTCTACACTTTCCCTTGTTATATTTCATCAAGTTATTCCCTGCCCAACTCTCCAGCCTGTCCAGGTCTCGCTGGATGGCAGCACAGCCTTCTGGCGTGTCAGCCACTCCTCCCAGCTTAGTGTCATCAGCAAACTTGCTGATAGTACACTCAATTCCCTCATCTAAATCGTTGATGAATATATTAAATAATACTGGTCCCAGTACTGACCCTTGAGGCACTCCACTAGTTACAGGCCTCCAACTAGACTCAGCCCCATAGACTACAACTCTCTGGCTTCTCTCCTTCAGCCAGTTCACAGTCCACCTCACTACCTGATCATCCAGACCACACTTCCTCAATTTAGCTGTGAGGATGCTGTGGGAGACTGTGTTAAATGCTTTGCTGAAGTCAAGGTAGACCACATCCACCGCTCTGCCATCATCCATCCACCGTGTTATATCCTCATAAAAGGCTAAGAGATTGGTCAAGCATGATTTCCCCTTGGTGAAGCCATGTTGACTGCCCCTCATAACCCTCTTATCCTTGATATGCCTTAAGATGGCACCAAGGATAAGGTGTTCCATCACTTTCCCAGGGATGGAGGTGAGGCTGACCGGTCTAGAGTTACCCGGGTCCTCCTTCTTGCCCTTTTTGAAGACTGGAGTGACATTTGCTTTCCTCCAGTCCTCAGGCACCTCTCCCGTTTCCCAAGACTTGGTAAAGATGATGGAGAGTGGTCTAGCAATGACTTCCGCCACTTCCCTCAGCACCCGCGGGTGCATCCCATCTAGACCCATGGATTTATGGATGTCCAGATTGCTCAACTGGTCTCTAACCCATTCCTCATCGACTAAGGCAAACCTCTCCGTCGACCTGACTTCATCTAAGGTCTCAGGGGTACAGGGCTCTTCAGGACTGCCTGCAGCAGAGTAGACAGAGACAAAGAAGGCATTCAGTAACTCTGCCATCTCTGTATCTTCTGTCACCAGGGCACCCATCCTGTTCATCAGTGGGCCTACACTGCCTCTGGCGTTAGTTTTGTCTGCCATGTATTTGAAAAAGCTCTTTTTGCTGTCCTTGACCCTTCTCGCCAGGTTTAATTCTAAGGAGGCCTTAGTCCTCCTAGCTGCCTTCCTACATCCTCTAGCAGCAGCCTTATATTCCTCCCAAGTGGCCAGCCCCTCCTTCCATGACCTGTAAACTCTCCTCTTCCACTTGAGCATACCCAGCAATTCCCTATTTAGCCACGCAGGTCTCCTGGCCCTCTTCCTTGACTTCCTACGTGTCGGGATGCTCTGATCTTGAGCTCGGAAAAAGCAATCCTTGAATGCCAACTAACTATCTTGGGCCCCTTTACCTTCAAACAGCCTTGCCCGTGGGATTTCCCCTAGCAATTGCTTGAAAAGGCCAAAGTTTGCCCTGCTAAAGTCCAGGGTTGCAATTCTACTTGCTATTCTACTAGTCCTACCACACAAGATCCTGAATTCTACCATCTCGTGGGCGCTGCAACCAAGGCAGCCCTTAACCTTTACTGCTTCGACCAGACCCTCCTTGTTAGTGAGGATGAGATCCAGCAGCTCTCCTCTCCTGGTTGGCTCATCCACCATTTGCAGGAGGAAGTTATCATCCACACACTGGAGGAACCTCCTGGACTGTGGCTGGGTTGCCGAGTGGTCCTTCCAGCAAACATCAGGGAAGTTAAAATCCCCCACGACGACCACGGCCTGTGACTGTGAGGCCGCTCTCAGTGGCCTCTAGAAGGCCTCGTCAACTTCCTCACCCTGATCTGGTGGTCTGTAACAGACACCCACAACAGTATCGCCCCTGCCAGCCTGCCCCTTAATTCTCACCCACAGACTCTCAACTCGTTCGTCTTCTGCCCCTGGACAGAACTCAGTGCATTGTAGTTCCTCCCGCACATAAAGAGCAACCCCACCACCCCGCCTGGCTGGCCTGTCTTTCCTGAAAAGGACATAGCCCTCCATGACTATATTCCAGTCATGTGAGCTGTCCCACCACGTCTCTGTAATTGCCACCAGATCATAGTCTCCTGACTTAACACAGGTTTCCAACTCCTCCTGCTTATTTCCCATGCTGCGCACATTGGGGTACAGACATTCCAGGGAGCAAGCTGAGCACACCGATTTCACCCTAGGATTATAGGAGGCATCCCAGTCTTCATCAGTTCTGGAGTGCTGCCCCACTGGGGCAAGCCCAGCTACAACCCCATCCCCCTTTGAATCTAGTTTAAAGCTCTCCAAATGAGCCCTGCTAATTCGTGCCCCAGCATCCTTTTGCCTCTGTGAGATAAACCTTTCCCACTTGTCATTGTCCAGGCTGGTGCCCTATAAAACCAGCTGTTATCAAAGAATCCAAAGCCCTGCCTGTAGCACCAGTCTCGAAGCCAATCGTTTATGAACTGAATCTTCCCATTCCTTCCCACATCATCAGTGAAAGATGGAAGGAGTGAGGAGAAGATCACTTGAGCCCCAGACTCTTTCACCATCCGCCCCAAGGCCCTGTAGTCTTTCTTCATCCCCCTCAGACTGCCGGAAGCAGCTTCCCCCTCACCTGTCTGGAAGATCAACAGCGGGTAGTAGTCTGTCGGGTGCACCAGGTTGGGGAGCGCCCTAGTGATATCCCTGATCCGGGCTCCAGGCAGACTACACACTTCCCTATGATGAGGGTCAACTCTGCATATCGGGCCCTCTGTTCCTCTCAGAAGGGAATCCCCTACTACAATGACCCTTCTTTCTTTCTTATCAGAGGCAGTCTTGAGGTGCAAAGTCGACCGCCTTTTCCTATGTGGCCTTGTGGGCTGGCCTTGCACCACATTCTCACCTACCTCTCCTTCAAGATCCAGGGCCTCAAACCTATTACGAAGGGACACCTGGGGAAGCAGGGCAGGAAGGGGGGAGGGTTTCCCACGACGTCAAACTGGAACTCGCTTCCAACCCTCGTCGTCTTTTTGGTCCCCTACCTCTGCGCAACAGCTACAGGGCAGGGGCTGTCTTGGGCCATCCCCCTCTGTGTGAGAGGGCAGGGGGTCCTTCCCCTTTTGGGGGGTATGTCCCTGGAACCATTCCGACTGGCACACCAGGGAGTTACCCCACCAGTCGATCTCCCTTTCACACTCCCTGATGGTCCTCAGCGTCTCAACCTCCTCCTTAAGTCTTGCCACCAGGCTAAGCAGATCTTCTACCTGCTCACACCTCACGCAGGTGGAATGCTGTCCTCCCTCCCCCGGCAACAGCAGGCTCTGGCACTCCCTGCTTCCAGAGACCTGAACAGCCACGGTTTGGGACGGGGTCTCTGTCTGAGTTGCTGCAGTCTTCTTACTGCAAGCTCTCTTTCTGGAGGCGACCATATTGGTCAGCAGTCTGGGACACCAGCAATAAAACAAGGAAAGTGATTACAAAGTCTGCTGCTCTGATTTCTTAGCTTCTGAGTTTATCTACACAGAAATTAAACAGTTCTATAAAGCATCAGTTTGGGAATATGCAGATGTAGCAACTCAGATCCCAGTTGTGTTTTCCCAGGCCAGTGAGATAAGACAGATATACTTTCTCCATACCTGATCTACTTTTTAAGCTATGCATACCTAACTTCTCCTGTCATTTATTTATTTTTTAAGAGGAAAAAAAAAACAAACCAAAGACAACTTTTCCATTGAAAAAGGGCTTCTGCACAGCCACTAAGATCATCTGCCAGTAACAAAGAGACTTTTACCAGCAGAAAGCTTCCTTCATAGCTAAATACTGCATTATTCCTGAGAAACAACACATTAAGCGAAAAAGCTGTTGGCGGCTTACTTGCATTTTCAGCTTTAGAAGTTTTAACTTCTTCTGTTCTCATTTTCAATGCTTCCTTAAGAGCTGCAGTTTCACAATATATCCTGAAGAAGTTAGAAAAAGGATGTATTATCATCTTTTAAAATATTTTAGACTAGGATTGTGGGGAAGACTGAAGAAAAAGGTCAAAACTGGAAACAGCTGAGTTGCCAGTTTGACAAGATATTATCCATGCTGCATTATACAAGTTGTTTTCTCACTTTCAGTATTTTTTATTGAGAAAAATGGTAAAATTTCCCCATAACAATACCTGAACCTGCTTAGTAAGGTTCCATGGCATATAGCCCTAGAGGGCACGGGGGCCCAAGACTCTTGGTTGATCTTCAAGGATCATCTGCTACAAGCTCAGGAGTGTTGCATCCCAACTAGAAGGAAGTGCAGCAGGAGAGCCAGGAGACCTCCTTGGATGGATAAGGAGCTCCTGAAGAAAATTCAAATGAGGTGGAAGCAAGGACAGGCAGCCTGGGAAGAATACAGGGATGTTGTCTGGGAAGCTAGGAACCAGGTTAGGAAAGCTAAGACCCAGTTAGAAATAAACTTGGCTAGGGATATTAAGGATAACAGGAAGGGATTCTATAGGTACGTAGCAAATAAAAACCAGACTAGGGACAACGTAGGCCCCCACAGGAAGCTCTCGGGAGAAGTGGATAAACAGGATCTGGAGAAGGCTGAGGTTCTGAATGACTTCTTTGCCTCGGTCTTCACTGGCAAAGGCTCTGACCACACCACCAAAGTCTTGGAAGGCAGACGCAGGGACTGTGAGAATGAAGACCTTAGGCCCACTGTAGGAGAGGATCTGGTTCGAGACCATCTTAAAAATCTGAATGTGCACAAGTCCATGGGACCTGATGCAATCCATCCGCGGTTGCTGAAGGAGCTGGGAAATGAAGTTGCGAAGCCACTGTCCATCATACTTGAAAATTCATGGCAGTCATGTCAAGTTCCTGATGACTGGAAAAAGGGAAATATAACCCCTGTTTTCAAGAAGGGGAAAATGGATGACCCGGGGAATTACAGACCAGTCAGTCTCACCTCTGTGCCTGCCAAAATCTTGGAGCAGATTCTCCTGGAAGGCATGCTAAGGCACATGAAAAACAACAAGGTGCTTGGTGACAGCCAGCATGGCTTCACTAAGGGGAAATCCTGCCTGACCAATTTGATGGCCTTCCATGATGGGCTGCAGAACTGATGGACAGGGGTAGAGCAGTTGATGTCATCTACCTGGACTTGTGCAAAGTGTTTGACACTGTCCCACATGACATCCTTGTCTCTAAATTGCAGAGACATCAGTTTGATAGGTGCACCACTCAGTGGATAAAGAACTGGCTGGATGGCCGCACACAAAGAGTTGTGGTCAATGGCTCAATGTCCGGCTGGAGACCAGTAATGAGTGGTGTCCCTCAGGGATCAGTGTTGGGACCGGTCATGTCGCTGACATGGACAGTGGGATTGAGTGCGCCCTCAGCAAGTTTGCTGATGACACCAAGCTGTATGGTTCGGTTGATACGCTGGAGGGAAGGAATGTCATCCAGAGGCACCTTGACATGCTTGTGAGGTGGGCTGATGCCAACCTTATGAAGTTTAACCATGACAAGTGCAAGGTCCTACACCTGGGTTGGAGCAATCCCAGGCACAGCTACAGGTTGGGCAAAGAAGAGATTCAGAGCAGCCCTGCGGAGAAGGACTTGGCGGTGTTTGTCAATGAGAAAATGAACATGAGCCAGCTTCAGTGTGCGCTTGCAGCCCAGAAAGCCAACTGTATCCTGAGCTGCATCAAAAGGAGCATGACCAGCAGGTCGAAAGAGGGGATCCTGCCCCTGCACTCTGCTTTCATGAGGCCTCACTTGGAGTATTGTGTGCAGTTCTGGTGTCCTCAACATAAAAAGGACATGGAACTGTTGGAACAAGTCCAGAGGAGGGCCATGAGTATGATCAGGGGACTGGAGCACCTCCTGTATGAAGAGAGGCTGAGAAAGTTGGGGCTGTTCAGCCTGGAGAAGGCTGCATGGAGCCTCATAGCAGCCTTCCAGTATCTGAAAGGGGCCTTTAAGGATGCTGGAGAGGGACTCTTCATTAGAGACTGTAGTGGTAATACAAGGGGTAATGGGTTCAAACTTAAACAGGGGAAGTTTAAATTGGATATAAGGAGGAAATTCTTTCCTGTTAGTGTGGTGAAGCACTGGAATAGGTTGCCCAGGGAGGTTGTGAATGCTCCATCCCTGGCAGTGTTCAAGACCAGGTTGGACGAAGCCTTGGGTGACATGGTTTAGTGTGAGGTGTCCCTGCCCATGGCAAAGGGGGTGGAACTTGATGATCTTAAGTTCCTTTCCAACCCTAACTATTCTATGATTCTATGAATACGTAGTATGTTGTTAGATCTAAATCTGCTAGCCAGGGGCCAGTGTCCAACCTGACTCTACTCCTAACCAACCTGTGTAGGCTCTGTGTAGGCTTGGTCTGAGTGGCTCTGACCCAAGGCTAAGGAAGCACGCTTTGCCAGTCTAGCTTCTTGTTTTCCAGGGCTGCATGTGGCTCTGTAGTGAGCAAAACCAGGAATCTCTGTGCTCATACAGAGGTTTCTCTTGCAACCCAGATAGCATGGGCTGTTCAAACAGGCTAGCCTTATTCATGAAGCCACACCCTTACACAAGCAATTTAAATGTGTCCAAGTACATTTGAGAGAATGTCTAAAAAAGAAAATAAAAGATCATTCAGCAACTTCAGATTTTAACAGAAGGTGGGTTTAAGTATCAGTACCATTAGAATCTGAAAGAAATTTGTAATAATGAAGCTCTGAAACATTTGAGAGAAATCTCTTTACTTCCTTTAAAGAACAGAATTGTTACTGGCCATGTGACAACAGGCCTTTGGTCTGAATTTTATAAAATAAACTTCCTGTAGGTTGAACACTGTTCTCAGGAACAGCTGCTCTGCCAAGTGTTGCAATCTTAGAGAATACAATATGCATTTATACCATGTTTTTCTTTGAGGCATCGAAGTATTTCCTTGTTGAATAGAAAAGTGGCAATCCATTCTGTTCTTGTGAGACCCCACTTGCAGTACTGTGAGTGGTTCTGGTGCCTCAACGTAAGAAGGACATGGAGCTGTTGGAGAAAGTTCAGAGGAGGCCACAAGGATGATCAGGGGGCTGAAGCACCTCCCATATGAAAACAGGCTGAGAAAGTTGGGGCTGTTCAGCCTGGAGAAGCTGCATGGAGACCTCATAGGAGCCTTCCAGTATCTGAAGGGGGCCTACAAGGATGCTGGAGAGGGACTCTAGATTAGGGACTAGGATAGGACAAGGGGTAATGGGTTCAAAGTTAAACAGGGGAAGTTCAGGTTAGTTATAAGGAAGAATTTCTTTACTGTGAGGGTGGTGAGACACTGGAATGGATTGCCCAAAGAAGTGGTGAATGCTCCATCCCTGGCAGTGTTCAAGGCCAGGCTGGGCAGAGCCTTGCGTGACATGGTTTAGTGTGAGGCGTCCCAGCCCATGGCAGGGGCTTAGATCTAGATGATCTTAAGATCCTTTCCAACCCAAACTCATCTATGATTCTGTGATTTATTTGGTGCATCTCTTCAGATGTTAGTAATGCAGAATGCTGTGAGTTCATGTTTTTTTTTAAATAGTAGCCTGAATTATTTCACTTGGATAAATTAAGGTAATACACATTCTTCTCATCCTGCTGTCCTGTTTTCTGATACCTGTACCAGAAAGCCTTTTTTGCGAAGCAGACTGAACTTTTGGCTTGCAGTTTGCTGAAGCCACAGCTGTAGTTTTCAACAGTTAATGCTAGTTTTGTTGCTCCAGACTACCTGGGTAAGCTTCCAATCTCGTAAGTCAGGAAAGCCAAGGGTTTTTTCACAAAGTGTCCCTCAAGGTAATTAAGTTAACAGGTGAACAAGATCAAATATCTTAACAAACCTCCTCTTTCAAACAAATAGTTTGTAAACTTTTGGCTTATTGTTCAATTCAAAATTTGAAGAAAAAGAAAATAATTCTGATGGGGAAACTTCAGAGATATCATTCCTACATTTAAATAAGGGAGCCTGCTGATTGCTTTTTTCAAGGCCTTTTGCTGCATTGTTACTTTAGTGCTTCTGGCATCTTCTGATTGCCTTAACCACACCTGCTGCCTATCCACAGCAAATCTTATTTAAACAAAGAACCAGTTGATTATCCTCTCTCAAAAGCATTCCCTTTTACCTGTATGTGTGCTCACACCTTCAATGCAAGAAAATAAGCAATGATTAACCAGCAAATGGTATTTCCACCTGCATGGACATACCTCATTTACATTGAAAATAAAGAACAGTCTGGCTCCAGCTGGCTAGCATAATAATGTAATAGGATGAAGTGAAAATTCAGCCTAGCAAAGCTAGAAGTTTCAACTGAAATATACAAATGTGACTAGCATGAAAATTAAATAAATATTCCCAAATCTGGAAGGAAATTACGAAAATATGAAAAACCCTGAAAATCCAGTGAAGTAAACTTGGAACTGAGGAAAGACATACAGCATTCAATGCAATTAAAAGAACTCACAAAACTACACAATGTAAGTCAAATACCTGTCATATTTTTCTGTCCATGTGTCTTCTATGTTTTTAAATCGATCCTGATCAAATTCAATTTCCCATTGCAAAATATTTATTTCCTGTGGAAACAAAAGAAATCTGCAGCAGTTTATTACAAGCCTCCTATTGAAAGGAAGAAGAGGAACTGCTGGTGCTGAGATTAGCACTGGCAGAAATGTAGGTAACCAATGATGATGACAATCAATTATACTGATAAAAATACATTTGGTGTCAGACACCAGAAAATTTCGGCATCACTGATCTGTGGATTCCAGACAGTGCTGCATGAACTGGTGCTTGTAGTGGCTTATGAGAAAAACAAACCCACATTGCCATGTTTCCCTGCCTACTTACTGTTCTGTGGCAAGGTCACACAGGAAGAGAAACAAAGCACAGAAATCAGTTTAACAAGGTAGCTCACTACTACCATCCTCCTCCTCCTCTCCATCTTCCCTATGAAAATTGGGCACCAATTTCTTAAACTTACTGGGAAGTTCCAGCTTCATAACTAACAAACAGTGCAACTGCCTATGAATGATTGTGAAACTCAGAACAAAGACCAACAGAAAGTAAACAGCTCTAGTAACCTTCAGGTACTATTTCTACACACTATATACAGCATCAAGACATCCAAATCAAAAAAGTGATGCATTAACATTTTCCCTTTCTACTAAAAAGGAATAACAATTTTAAAAAAACCTTGAAGTAATGGCAGATTTGTTCCAATCTAAATAAACAGTCTGATAACCCAATATTAATAGCAATGAATTCTGTGTTCTTAGAGAGGTGTGAAGGAAAAATGCACCCTTACCTTTTCTAAAGTTCTCTTTTCTTCCTCAGTCTTTTGAAGCATTTCTTTTGTGTGACTAGTGGCTTTATTAAATACTGCCTGCAAAACAAAAATAAAACCAACAACAAACAAAGCACAAGTCCAAATACTGTAATTAAGTTTAGTTAATTTGGCTTTAGACAAATTTTTAGTGTTACATCACAAGAAGTTCAAATTCATAGTTGAAAAGAAGTGTGCAAAATTACAAACACTAGCAACTTACTTGTAAAGTCCCAGTGGGTTCTAATTTCAAGTCACATAATGCTACATTGCATTAACAAACTTGTGTTTCAGTCCATAATCTTTTCTATTGGAAAATGTAGCGTTCATTTAAGATGACATCATTGTGTCTTCTTTAGGTCTCATCCACAAAATCAGCTCTTAAACCTAGACTTTGAGCCAGGTGTAACTTACTATGAATGTCTGAGGGTAGAAACTGCAGGCTATAAATGGGTTAAGCAAGCAGACTAAGAAACAGGAACTGATTTCAACATGATCCATTGTGATAATGAATAAAAGTATCACAATCTGTGGACAAAAGACTGACCTAACATTTAATGTATAATGTCCTCTAAGACAATGTATGGAGCAGTCAACTGAAAATATCTGTGTTTTGCAGCAGAAGTTCAAGCACTGGCAAAACATATAATTTAAAGGGCTGGAGAGAAAGAGTTGTTCTTCTAACTTAAATAAATCCTCAAAGAACCTCAAAGATAAAAATACAGAAATGCTACAACAGTAAAATCTTCTTCAATAGCTCCATGAAGTAAAAGTTGTAGAAGCCAAGTGTGTAAGACACTTGCAGATTCAGTGCTTTAAAGTCCTGGTAAATACAGGTTCAGGGAGTTTTAATGAGGAGTGGCAGGAAGATTTCTTCTGTTTTCCTTCCTTTACCATTAATGATTTCTGAAAAACTCCTACCATGCTCTGCAGAATTCTTAGGGCTTCATCTTTTCCTTCAAGTTGTCTCTGAGATGCTTCAAGCTCAACTTTCAAAATGTCAACTTCCTGAAGCAAAACAAAATAGGTACACTGATAAAACCCAAGGTAATAGTGTTAAAACTCATAAATGTAGAGGGCAATGTAAATTTGCCCTCTTCAAAAAAACAGTGTTCTGCTTCTATGCTGTATGATTCTTTCCTGACAAGTAGCTTGCTTACAATGAAGAAATGTTAACAACGCATACTAGCACCAAATCCTTGAAGAATACTTGTAATTATTATTCTTTCTGTTCTCTTCCAGGATATTTGGAAAATAAACCACTGCAGTTTTGCCTTGCTAAAGAAGCTGCATGTATCACCACAGGTCCCGAGGTTTAAAATAAGGAAACAGAACAGAGTACAGTTTTCCTATATATGCAGTATCAAATACTACAAATATATACTAAAATATAAATGCTCTATTAATATGACATACCCTAAACATATCATACAAAACATCTATACTCTATAGTGTGAATATCGTGTTACAACTGTTGGATTAAAACCACTACCTTGTCCACAACAAAACCACTGTCCAACAGATCCCTGCTGCAGGTACCTGCCAATCATACCTTTATGCAACATTCCCCCCTTTGGAAGAAAGCAGTTTTTTTTTAGTTTCGAATAGTTAAAATGAAATTTACTGCTTTGTGTACTTATTTTTCCTTAACCCCTATGTAGGTCACTCAGTTGTTCACTTGTTGTCATACAAAACTTTTTTTCAGAGTTCTTTCAGGCCTGTTACTGCAGCAATTGATACTAAAATTGTACCTCAGAGCAGTGCATTTCTTCAGTTTTGTCTAATTGAAAATGAGTAAGGTTCCTTGACATTTTAACTTGCTGTGCACTGAAGGTTCTTCATGCTAAGAAAACCTGACAGTGACCTACTACAGGATATCCTGGGGTTAAAGAACACAGTACAGATGAAGACGATACCCTTACAACTGAGATCACCATGCTCTTTCTGCCCAGACTGATGCCAACACATCAACATATTTAACCACAGTAAAATTAAAATGTAGGAGTTAACTACCTTTCAGTAAAAATCCAGATTAAAACCCCAAACACTACTCTGTTTACACTGAAGATTTTCAGGCCCTGAAGCTTAAAGAAAACATGCTAGAAAAGTAGTGTGATCTTTTCAATATTATCTACATCTCTACACCTTTCAAAATACTTCCTCTCCATTCTCCCCATCACAAAAAAAAATAAAAATATGTGTCATAAAATTGAATAAGGCTTCCAACTACTGCACTGGTTACAAAAACCTGAATCTATCCCTGATTCTGACATGCCAAGGTCTTCAGCTAAACCAACACTTTGCTATGTTAAAAGGAAATGCAGATTTCAACAACAGCACACTTGGCACAGTCACTTACCTCTTGAGCCTCCCAAAGTTGTTGCTTTAGTTCTTCATTTGGTACTTCAGCATTAGATTCTGTAAGATTGATAGCAGATACTAAATGCTGAGAAACTATAATATTTACAACAGAAAACATGAGAATTTTCTTTACCCTGAAAACTGGTAACATTCAAAGGTATATTTTTTCTTCAGGAGCCAATTAAAACACTTAAGAAATACATAAATACTAAAATCAAACATATTGTTTCATAGTTAAAGAAGAGCAATGGAAAAAAAAAGTCAGTTATAAAGAGACCTAAAATAAGGACAATTATTTTAGAATTTCATAAAAGAACCAAACCCACACCCACAAAAGTACCAAAACCACAAAACTGCCATCTTGATTAAAAAAAAAACAACAAACCAAACTTCTTTTTTTTAGCTTCTTTTCAGATGGTAACTTTTAAACAACCACAGTCAACAACACAGCATCTAGCACTATTTAGAATTAATGTCAATTTTCAAGATTGGAAGATGGAAGTATGTTAGTGGAGTATCCCACAAGATCCAGTATTCCTCTATACAAGAAGTTACTACTTCTCTTAAACTAAGCAGGATAAGATGCACCCTTCTGCTAAATCCAAATCACGATGCAGTGGACTTTAGTCATGCTTTCATGGATGCTGCTGTGTGATAGACCTAGATCTAAGACAGGCATCACACAAAGATGACCAAAGATCACACAAAAAGACCAGCATAATGGCAGTGAAACCAACAGGAATTATGCTGTTTTCCTGACATCTTTGCACTGAAGATGCTGAATCCAATAAAGAATAATTACATGTCTTATAGCAGTGTGTGGAGAGGATAGCAGGGACTTGTTCTAAAGGAGAAGAATAAGCAAGTTACACAGAAATACTTTGGTCAAAATACTAAAAATGGCTAAAAATGTAAGGGAAAGCAACTGATGTATAATAAACAGCACTGCCTATATTTGATTTTATCTACAGTAGTGTTATCTTCACCCAAAAAAAGAGAAAGGAAAAAAAAAAAGACAAGACCAGAGAGCTGAGATTTGCAGATTCCAAAACCAACTTCTTAACCTCAAAAATATGCCAACAGCAAATGTGATTTTGAGTATTTAGCCATAAGCTTTCACAGAATCATAGAATCACAGACCAGTTTAGACTGGAAGGGACTTCAAAGCTCATTCAGTTCCAACCCCTTGCCATGGTAAGGAACACTGGAACAGGTTGCTCCAAGCCCTGTCCAACCTGGCCTTGAGCACTGCCAGGGATGGGGCAGCCACAGCTTCTCTGGGCAACCTGTTCCAGTGATAGAACCTCTAGGAAAACACACTTAAATCAGGAGTCCAAGAAAGTCCATTAAATTTCATATATATATTTAGAGAAAACCAATGCTGTCCCCCACCAGAGGATGCTCTTTTCTAAATGTCACTTTCAAAAGCAAAACTAAGCACTTTAAAAATGGTCAGTTTACACTAGAAGGGCCACAGCCTCACTTACTGAAAAGCAATTTTGCTGTCAAATGTTTTGGAAGGTATAGGCACAGAGACTACTCTACCTCTCCTACTATGACACTAACAGCAGCCTTAGGGGCTGCACCAACCACCCTGTGAGGCTGCACTGGATCCTAGCAGTCATGTCCCTTGGAATCCTCCAGAGATCAAGTGTTTTAGCACACACTCTGTCTTGTGGACACCTTGTGAAGCAAATGAACTGCTTGGTTTTGCTAACAGGGGGTTTTCTCATGGTAAATAATAAACACTCAAATTACTCTTACCACAGCTACGCTGTCGTGTGGAACTAGTAACAGGCTTTTTTGATGATCCATTGTAAAAACTGTTTTGTTTTGAGCCAGGAAGAGTTGCAGCATCACTTTCTTCACTCTCTTTGCTGACAAGAGAGAATGACAAGCCTTTCCAGACCCCTTCCTAGATTTAAATGAACAGCAGCTCTGTAAATTTTCCCCTTCATAAACACCTCCGGGTCTTTTCCCGAGGCCGTTTCCCAAGTCTCCATATGCCATGTCATCCTCTTCTGCTTCCTCCACTTTCTCCTCCCGAGTTTTGGTTGGTCATCCTGTTTTCTGACCTAGAGCACTTCACTTACCGGTGATGTGAACAGCACCTCCCGCAAAACACGGATTCTATCTAGAAAAAACAGGAAAACTCAGTCATGAAAGCAGCAGAACAACCCTAAAGTGAAAGAATCTGAAAGTGGTGGTGCGTCAGCCGCTTCCAAGGTGGGTTGAGGATGTCGGAAAACACCGTTCTGGCCATGCGGTGAAGCTTTGAAACCGTGGGACCGCCCTAGTGAGGGTGGAACCTCTTCGGGGCCTTCCCCTCTTCTTTCCCCCCAGGTACCAGAGCTCCCAACTCACTTGCCGAGCTGACCACAGGCCAGCCTTCCCACCCTGGCGCGGGCCAAAGCCTCGGGAGCTGGCCCGGCAGCTTGCATCATGGCAAGCGGACCTGTAACCAGTCAATGAGTAAGTCACTTGTGAAGGATTGTGTGCGTGAAAGTTTGAAAATCTTGAGTTTGGAACGATGATGTTCCCTTGCCTGCTCACAGGTGTTGGGAAGAGGTAGAAGAGTGATGCATGAATCCTTTGGATCAGAAAACTAACTTCAGAAAGATTAGAAAGAAACCCGGGGTCGAAAACAGAGAAGCAGTTTTGAAGAGTGCAGGAAGACGGAAGTTAATGTTTCTAAAGGGACTTGTTTCATTATGGAGGGCTGGAGCATTGAGACAGGCTGAGAGAGCTGGACTTGTTTAGCCTGGAGAAGGCTGCAGGGAGACCTTAAAGCAGCTCACAGTGCCTAAAGGGCTGGCTGACAAGAAAGCTGGAGAGGGGCTTCTGACAAGGGCCTGTAGGGAACAGGGAAAGGGGGTATGGCTTTAACCTGACAGAGGAGAGATTGAGATAAATTCTGAGGTAGAAGTTCTTACCTGTGAGGTGGAAGTTGTCCAGAGAAGCTGTGGCTGCCCCATCCCTGGCAGTGTTCAAGGCCAGGTTGGACAGGGCTTGGAGCAACCTGGTGTAGTGGAAGGTGTCCCTGCCCATGGCAGGGGTTGGAACTGCATGAGCTTTAAAGTCCCTTCCAACCCAAACCAGTCTGGGATTCTATGATTATAATCCTAGAAATCACACCCCATAAGGTAAGACACCCTTGCCCACAGAGACATTCGCTCAAGTAACATGCATGTGCTGTGTCCTTAAATAGAGAGAATGCAAGAGCAAATGGTTGGAGATAGAGGGTGTTACCTACACAGAAAACGCCAATTACCACCATTTGAAATGTCTTACAAAGGATAGCTAGCAGACTGATGGTGTGCTGATTCTGTGTACCCATCCCCCAGCACCCATCTCCGTGCAAATATGAATTAAACATATCTTGACTCTGTGTCTGAGATTAGCTTGTTGCACTCCGGGTGAACAAGCCCACATTTTCACAACAGAGGGAGTGGTGGTTATGGTGCCGAAGGTCTGTACTTCACCTACAGCTTCCCCTCCAAACCAATAGCACGACTTTGCTGCGCAGGATGCGGCAATTCAAAGCACACTTATTTCTAAGTGTTGTCCAGTGCACCTCTATGCCTTAGATCACCCTTCACCTGGTTTCACAGTACCCCTGAAAGCAGCACATGCATGTTTACATCTTTACAACATTTGGTCCCAATTCTGCAAGGAAATCCACATTTTTCACCATTTCAGTTCACATGAGTGTCAAACTGCTGATACGGTATTCCTCTGTAAGTCTCACAAAACAAACAAACAAACAAATAAACAAACCAAAAAACCACCCCAAAAAAAACTCTACCAAATTTGGAACCAAAATAGAACATGTAACCACAGTACCCTTTACCATAAAAATTTTCAAGGTAGTAAGACTTTTATTACCCAGACTCATGCATATAAAAAGTTAATTAGCAAGCAGTTTCTACTTGTGCAAGAATCTTTCATGAGGCTTTACAATCCACATTATCCATAAGAAAGGTTATTTCATGCTCTTCCAGGACCCAGGCTTTACAAGCACTGAGAACAGATAGCTGCCAGTATCTTAAGTGTAACCATGTTTTGGATTGCAGGAGGTTTGTTATTCCCACCAAATATTTCTGTGATAAACTTACAATGATAAATATGATAGAGGTGGGTGATACAGAGAGGAAACAGAGAAATAAAACTTATTGTTTAATACACCACTCCAGTGCAGATATAGCTGATGATTCCTTACAGCGTAAGTAATTCCCAAAGTTTTGTGTAAGGACTTTAAAATATCTCCCTTACTAAGTCATGTCTCTTCTACCCAAACAAAGCACCCTCCTTAAACTTTATCATACAACCCTCATTCCATGTTGGGCTCCACATATCCAAGAAGGCAGTAGAGTACAGAAGGTTTTAGTCTAACAGTTCAGAAACAGACTAACCCCTTTTCAAGATACTGTTTCAGAAATCAAAAATTTGGTATAAAGCTCCACAGCTGCCACCAGTTATCAGGACTTTACGGTTTTCTTGGGGATCCTGGGGGAGGAGGCCTGGTTTTACTTGCAAGCTCAAAGAAATTCTTAATTATTGAACCTAGTTCCTGCTACTAAGGCAACTGTGACTTTCATTGACTGCAGAATTTTCACTTTGTCAGTTTTCCTGTATGCCTCCCCCAGAGGCTGTTCAAAGCCTTCAGCCTTCCATGCTTTTGTCTGGTCCCCAACCATGCAAAATAACAATAAAATTAATCTTAATGTATCATACAAGAATTACAATTGTCAAATATTAACACCCCTCACCCCCAGAAGAGATCCAGCAGAGTTCTTTTGCACCAAATGTCAATTGTTGTCTTTCATCCATTGCTCAATCCATTGCATAATCTGATCCAAATTTCTCTCCAGGTCTTCAGGAGTATTGCTGTGTAACTGGTGTACAATTTCCTTTCTATATGACAACAGAGCTTCCTCATAAAGTGTCTGAAAAATTTCACACTGAATGTTGTCTTGCAGCTTTTTCCCCTTGTATCCCCTTAAAAACAACACCAAGAGACAGTCTTAGACATGTTGATAACTATAAAGTATCCCACAGAGAATCAGTAATTTATACCCTAAAAGATCTTTTATGAGGTCACATAACAATTCTTTGTTCTTATTTATCCACTGACATACCTGCTTTCAAGTCTGTCATAGAGAAATGAATTTTCTGTACGAAGTACAAACACAATATGAAACCAGCGTTCAGGGAAGAAATCACAGCCATGATAATCAACAATAACTCCACCCTCACTCATTTTATCTTCTAGCTCGTCTATTACCTACAAAAGAAACAAAGACAAGCAAGTTTACCTGAAATGACAGAAAGTCAAAGTACAAGCACGATAGTTTTAGAAGTTGGGCTTACTCTGTCTTCATCCAAAATTGGACAGTCATACTCCTCATCAAAACCTTCATACAGTTCTCCTGCAGCAAAAAGAATTTGTGGAAGTTTGTGAAGTAACAGCAGTTACTAAAATTATTTTTGTAGTTATGTTTATTTCAGGAGGATACAAACAAAGGATAGTGTTCAGAGCAAATCCACAAAAGGGTAAGTTTGTTGTTACTTAATACAAAGTGGGCCACAGTCACATAAATGCTTTTTTACCCTATGCCACCAAAAGCATTTCTGTTAAAGCAAATTCATTGGCATTTCACTTAATATATAATGCATGCACTGCAAATTGTACAAAGCAAAAATATCTTAAGTCCTTTGATGAATTATATTGTTAATATGGCCTACCATCTTTTGCCACGTCACCCACATTAACATAGCTCATTCCTGTTCTTGATGCCAGCTCTTTTCCGAGTGTGGTTTTCCCAACGCCTGGAGTACCTAAAGACACAACCCCATGTAAAACAGTAGGAGAACAGCATGTAAGTCCTCTTCAGATAACCTTCTAAGGCATCAAAACGGAAGCTTTCTCAGTCAATGCTCCAAGTTTGTATAAGAAAAAGGGGGCAAAACCCTGCATGATGAGGAAATGTAAATAAGAGTAATGCCTGGAGAGGAAAAAAAAAAACGAAAGAACTATGAAGAAAAGTCTCATTTTGTGCAAAAGTTTTATTATAATCAGGATGATCACAGAATCCCAGACTGGTTTGGGCTGGAAGGGACCTCAAAGCTCACCCAGCCCGAACCCCCTGCCACGGGCAGGGATACCTTCCACTAGACAGGTTGCTCCAAGCCCCGTCCAGCCTGGCCTTGAACACTGCCAGGGATGGGGCAGCCACAGCTTCTCTGGGCAACACCACCTTCACAGGGAGGAACTTCTTCCTCAGATTTCATCTCAACATCCCCCGTCAGTAAACCTTGTTTCATTTAAAGCCTGACCCAACACGAGAAACCTTAAGTTGCCACACAGCACAGCTCGGCCGCTGTTCCGCAGGGACCTCACACTCTAGACAACGGGTAGAGATGGATGGGGCGTCTCTCCGTCAGGCCCAGCCCAAGCCGCTAGGGTCGGGTCGGGTCGGGTCCGGTCCGGTCCGGTCCGGTCCGGTCCGGTCCGGTCCCGTCCCGTCCCGTCCCGTCCCGTCCCGTCCCGTCCCGTCCCGTCCCCTCCCCGGAGCCGCTGCCGCGCACCCGTCAACAGCAAGTTAGGTCTCCTCATGCTGCCGCTCCACACTTGCTGCGTGCGCTGGACGTCTAGGCGATACGTAAACGGGGGCCTTCGCCGCACAGCCGCCCGCTGATGGCGTCATTCGCTCTGCCCGAAGGGTTCTGCGGCTTGGACGGACAGGCAGGCAGGCGCGGCGAGAACAGCTAAAGGCCGCCGGACCAGAAAGGCCCCTGGGGGACTGGTGGGTGGTGTGATGTGCTTGGCTCGGCTCTCGGGGTCACGCCTCGTTCTCAGGCTGCCACGGAGCGGGTTTTTCTCTGAGGCCGACCCTGGGCGGGCTTGTCCCCTCAGGCCCGGCTGGTCGCAGAGCGTCTGACTGGCTGATCGGCGCCGGTCGGGCTGAGGGATGTCTGGAAGCTCCTCGGGAAAACAGACGGTGCCGGCTGAGGTAGGCCTCGGGGGGAGGGATGGGGATTAGCGTAGGTTTTAGGCCCGGTAATTATCCCTTAGTCTCTCTCTGGGCAGTTCCTCTTCAGTTGTGTGGGTTTTTTGGTTTATTTTAATGTATAAGGTGCTATTTTGTTTTACTAGTGCAATGCATGAAAAAATAACTCCCTCACAGGATATTACCGGCCCCCTTGTAAATGTGCAAATTCAACTAAAAATAGGTTTTGTCTGAATAATGTTAAAAGCAAGCGGGCTCAGTTGTTGGTGCTCTTTGTAGAATCATAGAATCACAGAATCACAGACTAGTTTGAGTTGGAAGGGACGCTAAAGCTCACCTAGTTCCAAACCCTTGCCATTGGCAGGGGCACCTTCCACTGGACCAGCTTGCTCCAAGACCCATCCAGCCTGGCATTGAACACTGCTAGGGGTACAGCTAGGAGTATTGATCTGGAAGGTAGGAAGGATCTGCAAAGAGATCTGGACAGGCTGGATCGATGGGCTGTGGCCAGTGCTATCAGGTTCAACAAGGCTCAGTGCCAGGTCCTGCACCTGGGCCACAACAACCCCATGCAATGCTCCAGGCTTGGGGAAGAGAGGCTGGGAAGCTGCTCAGTAGAAAAGGCCCTGGGGGTGCTGATTGATGGAGCTGAACATGAGCCAGTTTGTGCCCAGGTAGCCAAGAAGGCCAGCGCATCCTGGCCTGTATCAGCAATAGTGATACAGGACCGGAAGGACCCAGAGCAGTGATCATCCCCCTGTACTGGGTACTGGTGAGGCTGCACCTCGAATCCTGTGTTCAGTTCTGAGCCCCTCGCTACAAGAGAGATGTTGAGGTCCTGGAGTGGGTTCAAAGAACGGCAATGGAGCTGGTGAAGGGCCTGGAGCACAACTGTGATGATGAATGGCTGAGGGAACTGGGGATGTTTAGTCTGGAGAAGAGAAGGTTCAGGGGGGACCTTTTTGCTGTCTACAACTGCTTGAAAGCAGGATGGAGTCAGGAGGTAGCTGGTCTCTGCTCCCAAGGAACAAGGGATAGGACAACAGGAAACAGCCTCAAGCTGCCCCAGAGGAGGTTTAGACTGGATATTAGGGATAGTTTCTTCCCCAAAAGGGGTCAGGCATTGGAATAGGCTGCCCAGGGCAGTAGTGAAAGTGTTCAAAAACTGTGTAGATGAGGCCCTTAGGGCATGGTTTAGTGGTGGCCTTGGTAGTGCTGCGGCAATAGTTGGACTTGATGAACTTAAAGGTATTTTTCAACCTGATTTTGTGATTCTTGCCCTCAGATACTCCATTGTCTGTTAATGGTCTGTTTGATTAATTCTTACATGTAAATGGCAGAACATTCATAGACCTTTTTGGAGACAACGCATCTGTTCTCTTGCTCCTGTTTTCACAGAGCTCGGTTTTGGCATGTCATCTTTTACAGGTCCTATGGTAAAAGATTATAATGCGGTTGTTAGCAGCAGAGAGCCTGTGATCATTGTGATAATATTTTTGGGACCATAGATAGGCTGAAAAGTAGCTCTGGGTCTAAGTTTTTACACCCGTCCTGGCAGGGTATTTTTAAATTAAACATTGGTGCTGCTAACAGTTTTGTCACCATCAGACAGACTTCTGAGTGACAGTCTGATTCTGGATTCCTCATACCACTTCCTCACAAGCAAACAAAACATTTGATTTTACTGTGCTGCCCAACTGATGGTTCTCTGGCGTCTATTTCTGACAAAATGTCTGCATTGTCAGTGTTATAAAAAGAAAAAAGTAAATGCCACATGCTAAAACATGAGGGGCAGAGGACATAAAACATGAATATGACCTTAATATAAAAAGGATATAAATAAGCCTATACTAGTTTTTCATTCTTATGAGAGTTTTAATTTTTAGTTTGAACTTGTGTTTTCAGAATTTTCAGCTTGTTCAGATTTGCTGCAAAATATCAGTGTGTAAGGTTTTGAATACTAAAGAAGCGTTTAATTGACGCATTCAAAAAACTGCCCAGGTTTGTGGCTAACTAGGAGTTAGTCATAGAATTGTAGAATGGTTTGGGTTGCAAGGGACCTTAAAGGTCATCCAGTTCCAATCTCCAATTCTAATGAAGTTCTTTAAACGTACAATGTATTCTTACATATGCTTGATAAAAATCTCCGATTTTGTAGAGACAGCTGTACCAAATTAAGGGGAGGAGAGTGCTACATTGAAGCAAAACATTTGTATTTTACCAGGTCACAGATTGGTTGGCGCATTCATTTGGTGACTTCTTAGGAAACACAAGTATTTCCCCCAGCGCTGTTCCTGTGAAGCCACTAGAAGACAACTCCGGTAGAAACCAGCAGCCGCAGCAAAAAGATGTGTCTTCTGTGACAGAAAGCAGAAAAAGCAAAGTTCTGCCCAGAAAAAGAGCAAAGTCGTCTTCAGTAGATCTACATCGTAACAAGTCCAGACAAAACCAGAGCCAGTCTCAAGAAGAACCATGGGTAGATAGATACAAACCTGAAACTCAGGTGTGAGAGTTATTCTAAATGCTGATGTAGTAGTAACATTACAGTGTGACCTGTTGCGATTCTGTTCGTCATCTGTATTGGGCAGGTGCTATGTATATCCTGTTTTACTAGAGCAGGGAAGTACTAGTTTGATTTATTTACTGCCTATAGGTAAGATTTTAGTGAGGTATTTATCTATAGGAAATGCATTTTTCTCAGGCTTCCTGAGGATATAAAGGTGCTGATGAGGTGTTTCCTGTCAATCTATTCTTGAACTTCTGAACCTGTTTCTGAATTTCAGCTGGATGTCACAGCTCCAAGTACTAGGAAAATCCACAGCTAAAGAAAGAGGAGGTAACTGAGTCAGTGCACTCATTATGGGAGATAATAGAAATCATCTTGAGTGGTACTGGGCAGCAGGTAGCCAGTCCATTAGCATGTTCAGAGTACTTGACTGATTGTAGTTTCTGCTATCTACTGTTTGCTTGATGCATCTTGTACATGACTTTGAGGGTGTGGGCACTGTGGTACCTTAGGACTTCAAGGAGAAAGGACTCAAGCCTGTAGTAAACCTGTCTTCACTGGTTCTGCTCTTGAAACAGCTTTTTCACAGTGTGTTTCGAAGATGTTAGCGTGCAAGATAAATGTGTCTTAGTTTTGAGTGCCAGTTGATGTAAATAAGTATAGTACTTCTGTTTTATATTTAGATATTTAATATCTCGTCTCTGGAGAGGAATTGAGTTGCAAGGCTGGAAGATCAGTGAGTTGCATGAGATTTGCAGAAGTTCAGAAAAGCTATGTAGTATTACTATCGGTAGAACCTAAAAAGTACCACTTCTGGCACAAACAGGCAAGGTTGTAATGTTACTTTAGGAATAATAAATAAATAATCATTTCCCAACAGATAGTGATGTAAAATTGGTTGTTGGAGGAAACAGGCTGAAACGATTATTCTTAACTGTTCCACTTATTTCTACATAGTATGTTCCAGTTTCATATGTTTATGCTTGTACCTGTCTGTTAATATTCCAGTCAGCGTGTATTCTGTTCTTGAACCTCATTTTTACAGTCTTGGAAACCAGCAGGTGTGTATATGTACTCAGTATATTTTGATCTTGTTTTAGAATGACCTTGCTGTGCAAAAGAAGAAGATTGAAGAAGTTGAAGCCTGGTTAAAAATACACTTATTACAGAGGCAGCCAAAGAAGGTAATACTGGTAAAACTAGCATCTGGGGTTATAAAACCGTACAAATGAGCTGGATTCAATTGTATTTTCATTTCAGAGAAAAACTCACCTTACAATGCAATAGATACATAATCACTACCTGTAAGAAATCTGGTAAGGACATAGATTAGAGCTTGTAGATTTGTTTTGGGCTTATGCTGCCAACAGGTGGATTCTGGTTTTGCTCAGAAATACTGTTTTCTAGGATCAAGTCAGTTCACACCTTTGCAGTTTGTGCTTGTAACTGTGTTTTGTCTTCCACAGATTAATTTTAAGTATCTTGAGAAATTCCCAGTTGCACAGACTTGATTTACTAGAATGTTTTTAACCTTGTGATTGATAAGAGGCATTCCTATACACAACCATAATTTGCCAGTCTTACTTAGTGTTTTTCAGACCTGATTCTGCAGTTCAGTGTCTAATGTTTCTAGTCTACATGGTGTGCAGTTAACTAAGCAGATGCATTAAAAACTAAGAACGAGGCTTTCAGAGTTTGAGTCTAGCTCTTTCTATCTGAAAACCCAACAGGTAAATTAATAATACAAAATATTTAGCTCTGGTTTTATTGGGAAAAGAGAATTGTTACTACAGAAATTAAAGAAGAAACTCTGCTAATATTTATCTTCAGCCAATTTTCAGTCTTTATGTATCTTGTTTTGCATTTTTTTTCCCCACTCATTCCCCCTCCCCATGACAGGGTGGCTCTGTTTTACTGCTGACTGGTCCTCCTGGTTGTGGAAAGACTGCAACTATACAAATATTAGCAAAAGATCTTGGTGTTCAGGTGCAAGAATGGATCAATCCAATATCTTTAGACTTTGCAAAAGAAGACGTAAGAAATATGTTTGGCCATGGTAAGTATTTTGCTTTTTTCTTTGCCGTTTTCTTTGCCCTTCCAGTTATTTTTGTATTGAGTTTTCTTTTGTTCTTTTGTGTCTGTCACCTATAAGGTCACAGCCATGTGAACCATATCCTTAATGTTTAATAATTTCTGCTCTTAGCTGAAAAGCGATTTAGGTTTTGTTGTTTTTTGGTTTTTTTTTTATTACAGTGTTTACTCCAAAACAATTTGCAGTTCAGATCAGTATAGAGAGCTACATAGTAGCCTGGATATCATTTGAGCCAGTTAAAAAAAAATAGCTAAGTCTGTCTTCATGTGCGCCCTCAACTGAATTCTACCCTTTAAAAATTCTCCTGGTTTTGCCATGTGTTTGCCAAAGGTCTTGTCTGCTGGTATTCAGTGGCTGCTGTCAGAAAGTACCATGAGTGGTATCAGTTCTTGTGGGTATTTATATTCTACTTTGTATAATACAGAATACATATTTTTAATTAGTTTTCTTTTTCAGACTCGGATTTTCATATGTGTCCGAGTCAGGCCCAGGCAGCTGTCTTTCAAGATTTTCTATTAAGAGCAAATAAGTATAACAAACTTCAGATGCTTGGGGAGTCCTCAGAAAATGATAAAAAGCTCATTCTTATTGAAGTAAGTGAAAATTTGTGAAATCTTGTTTTGAAAACAGTACCTTTTATTGTAACATTGACATGCTAGCTAACTTCAGTTGGTGGACGGTGTTGTAAGAAGTCAGTCTGCTGTTACTGCAGATGAGTTCTTTATTACTTCTTAAGTTTTTACAGCAGTCTAGAACTAAGCCTAAATATAAACTAATAGGCAGAAACTGGAGAGTAGTTTGTACACAGAAATAAGATTATATCAAAACATAGACCAAACCAGTTTTCAGAAGTCATACCCATGTTTCTATATGATTAGCTTTCTAGAAATATGTATGTGTATAGACAGGAAGAAGGGGAAAAAACCTCTCGTTATTCCTGTTATTTAAGGATCCAGGAGAGTACAGAAGATATGCAAGAAGTAACACAATAGAAAGCATTTGAAATTCAGCATTCCTGGCTTTATACAGGGGGCATTATTTAGGGCAGAGATATGAAGTCTAGGGGTTTGTAAGCCATAATGGGAGATACAGGAGAAGATGTGATTTTTACTTATTCAGGAGCGTGTTTCAATGACATTTTCTTTTTGAACTGTTCTATTTATTTCTTTGTTTTCTTTTTTTTTTTTTGAGAGGAATTTTATGATAGTCAAGTTGTCTGTAAAATTTCAAGGAAGTTTCATCTTTCAAGAAAAAGAATAGAGGAGACAAAAATCCTAGCTGAGTGATGTGACATACTGTAGAATTAGAAAGCATGTTTTTCTGTGACTGCATAAAGTCACTTTCTCGTGTAGGTGCTTTCATGTATCAGTAACATATCCTGCTCTCTTCATTGGTGGAGCTGCTAACTTGGATGTTTATTTTCTGTGTAAAACTCAGTCTAGCTACATAAACACCCAAGGTTGTTTCTTATGAAACAAGGACAGAAAGAAAATGTTTACTGTATTTTTTTTTTTTTTTTTTTGACTGTGAGGGTTGTGAGGCCCTGACACAGGTTGCCCAGAGAAGCTGTGGCCACCTCATCGCTGGCAGTGTTCAAGGCCAGGTTGGATGGGGCTTGGAGCAACTTAGTCTAGTGGAAGATGTCCCTGCCTGTGGCAGGGGATTGGAACTGGATGAGCTTCCAGCCCAAACCAGTCTGTGATATGTTTCTTTAGATAATTGTTTTCCATAATGAAAGAAGGAAATACTATGCTATAGGGTTTTTTTCATTTTTTTTACCTGGTTATCTTCAGTGTTAGTCACATGCAAATTTAGTTGTGACTAGCTAACTAGGAATAAAACACCTGTAGCAAGTGATGTGCCATAACTGTCTATGGGAGAGAATATTTACATCTAATGTAATGACAGCAGTTCTTTTGTTTTGAATAGGACCTACCTAACCAATTCTATCGAGAGCCTAGAAGCCTACATGAAATTCTCAGGTCAGTTGCAAATTAGGTTTTAAGGATTAACTTCACCCACTCACAGTAAACTGGAGTTTGATTCTTACCATACTTATGTCTCATTTTAGGAGATTTGTTCATATGAGTAGATGTCCACTTATATTTATTATATCAGACAACTTCAGTGGAGACAGCAAGCAGAGGTTAATATTCCCAGGGGACATTCTAGAGGAGTTGCATATATCCACTATTAGGTAAGATCTTTTATCTCATTAAAACTTGATTGGAATTAATGAGAAGTCGGAAACTAATTTTTTTTTTTTTTAAATGAAATCCAACAGTTTCAAGCCGGTTGCAACAACAAATATGATGAAAGTTCTTAATCGAATTGCTGCAACAGAAGCTAGTTTGGTAAGTCATCAAAACTGATAACTTGCGCAGTGCTTGCACTAGAAGATTTCAGGCTTTTGTATCTGAAATAATGTTACTTATCTTTGTTGGTATATTTGTTTGATCTTTGATAGCAGAGCCTCACACCCTCAAAAACCCTCACTGGTCCCCCCCAACAGAAAACAGGGAACAAACTGAAAGATGTCTTGTTTTTGAGATCAGTTCCACTTGATCTGTGGTCTAAGTCTTCAAAGTTACTGCTGAAGATTCTCCTGCATTTTACAGAAGCCGTATATATATGAAGCAGATAATAGGAGCAGAAATAATTTTCATTGTATTCAGCAAGGTGAGAAGAGGTCATGAGCCCAAATCCTGTATTATTCCCGACCCATTTTCATTGCGACCAAGTCTGATACCGAGTGAACCTCGCAAAGAATTGTGTACTTTATTCTCTGCAGTATGCTGTATAAAATGTGGCAATGTGCTTAAATGGATTGAAAGTTTTAAAGTTAGCAGTATTATGTGGTTTGAGCACACGGTGGATGCTCATGTAGTCTATTTACGGTGTCTGTCAGAGCTAGATCCCCACAGCCAGGGTAATATTCAAATGCTCCTTGTCCTACTTTTTCTTACTGCTTTGAATGTTGCTTTTTATTTGTAGAAGAGAGGAAAGAATTTTGCTCTTGACAAAACTTCTCTGGAGTTGCTCTGCAGAGGTTGTTCAGGTGATATAAGAAGTGCAATAAACAGTCTTCAGTTTTCTTCTGTGAAAGGTAAATTCCTGTGATTTTGTTAAGACATTCTGACCACTTCTGCTGTAAAGGCATTCTGTTCACTGTTGCATCACAGCTAGGTGAGCTACATAAGATATTTTTTATATGCTGCTGTGGAGCAGGAATAAAATACACAAAGGTTTTGTGTTTGTGTGTGTGTGGGAGGGGATTATTTGTTTATTTTGTTAAGCTGAAAACATTCCATGTCATGACTGTTATATGTCATCTAAAAGCTGAGTGCCATCTGCAACTGTCCTGATTTTGGCTGCAATGTAGTTAATTATTTTCCTAGTAGCTGGTGCAGTGCTGTATTTTGGCTTTAGTCTGAGAACAAAGCTGGTAACACACCAATGCAGAGCAGGGCTTACACTAAGTCGAGGGCTTTTCAGCTTCTCATGCTGCCCTGCCAGTGAGGTCACAAGAAGCCGGACACAGTCAGGACAGCTAACCGCAAGTGGCCCAAGGCATATTCCAGACTATAGCACGTCATGCTCAGCATAAACCCCAGGAGGAAAGCAGGCTGGGGGCTGCTGCTCAGGAACAGGCTGGGCATCAGTGAGTTGGTGGTGAGCAGTTGCTTTTAATTTGCATCTCTTGTTTTTCTTGGATTTTATTTCTCTCTCTTTTGTTATTTTTTCATTACAATTTCTTATAGTATTGTTACTATGTTATTTCAATTATGAAACTGGCGGGGGAGCGAGTGAGGTGCTGTGTGGTGCTTAGTGGCCATCTGGGGCTAAACCACAACAGCTATGTGTATATTAATGTAATTCAAGAATAGGGAATGTGTTTGGATTCGTATACCTTATCCTGATTGTATTTTTGTTTTTACTGGTAGACTGCTCACTGGAGAAAGAGTTTTGGTTGAAGAAGGAAAGGAGCTCCATGGTAAAATGTGAAGCAGCAGTATCTAACGTAAGAAAGAAAAGTAAAGCTGATATTTCAGAAGACCAGGAGATACAAGCTATTGGTGGCAAAGATGCTTCCATTTTTCTTTTCCATGCTCTGGGGAAGATAATTTACTGCAAAAGTAAGAAAACTTTGACTTGCTCTTCCTTTTCGTGGGCAAAGCATGTCAGCTGCTAGAAGCTACCTTTGCTAAAGTAAGGCTTACAGTGACCTCCAGTTTCTGTCTTTGGTCATTAATAACAGTATACCACCAGGAATAACAGCTTGTGGTCACTGAGATTGCAGCTGTCCGTATTTATTAAGTAAATGAATGTTTCATTAAGTTGTATGACATGTGTAATAAAATTGCATATCTCTAGTTGCATTAGTTCCTTGTGCTGTCATGCATGCAAAGCCGGATACATACCAGCACATTCATTGCTTTGTACAAAAGCAGTTTTTGCCTTTGTGCAGAAATAGACATTGTTGTACTGCTACATTCTGTACTTGTCTGTATTCCTAAATACAGAACAGCCCTGCAGCCTCATGGCTACTGCCTCCATTATTTGTGCATCTGCTCTCTTGTCCTCCCTACTTTTTATCTCAGCTCTTTATTTCCCATTAATAGACATTTGTCTTCTGTCCATTCTGATCTGAAAACCTCTTCCACCCTGTTGTACCATATCTCCCTTTGTACCTCTCCAAACTACTTTCCACCTTACTACTACTGAAAGTTCTACTTTTTCTACACCAGGTTCTGTAAATTTACAGAAACAACCTGCTCCCTCTGTGTGGTTCAGTATTGTTTTTTTAACATTAAAACTATAATTCATACGCATTTGCTACATATTAAACTAGTACTATCTGCACTTGGCTAAATCAGGATCTATTAAACCACTGGCTCTCCACATTTCAGTGATGATTCACCATACCGGTTCTAAAATTAGCTGGTAGAATTGACAGTAGTTGAAAGTGATGCTCAGTGTATGGGAAAACTGCTATTCAGTAGCTACGCATGTCAATTCTTGCTCCTGTCTAACTTTTATTCTAATTTTGAATATTTAACCTGAAATGTGTGTCATCTGGCTTTTTTGATTATGTGCAGAAATGTAGCAACATTTCTGATACTGAAAGACTAAAAAGATTGTAAAATCCTTTGTAGGAGAACCAGTGTCAGAATCAGAATTCCCTCAGCTGCCTGCTCACTTATCAGAATACCGTCGGGACACCTTGCTTATTCAGCCTGAGGTATGTCTGTAATAGCTACTTGATTCCACTTTGGTTTGAAAAAAACCCAAACAAAACAAACTCTGAAGTGGTTGATGCAAATTCTTAAGCACAGGGGTTTTGTCACTGATTTTAGTATATGTGTATTCAGTCTGTCCAAGTTACAGAATAATTACTGTGGAAGAGACCTCTGGAGGCTAAATTCAAATGAAGAGTAGGTTCCCAGGAACTAGATCTGTTGAGTTTTGAGGATCTCCAAGAATGGAGACTCTCACTTCACTGATGAACTTGAGGTGGAAAGTGGACTTGTGCTTGCTGCAGCCTGTGATTTAGCTCACATTTTTTCACTGTGCTTTGTTAATAGGAGTTCACCTTTCTGTTACCACCCATTATGAGAGTTGAATACAGTAATGGCTTCTGCCCCTGTGTCCCTCCTTTAGCATTCTCTGGGAACAAGCCAACCTTCCTTTTGTATATAAGCATCACTTCATAAACCATGTGTGCCAGCTCCTGAACCATCCAAATGTGTTGTATCTCTTACTAGATGCACTCGTAAAACTTGGAACTTTTTCTTTTCTTTTTTGTTTCCTAATAGGATATTGTGGAAAAATCACATATGTCAGGAAGCATGTTTAATTTATACCTTCACCAGAACTATGTAGACTTTTTTTCTGATATAGATGATGTAGTGAGAGCCAGTGAATACTTAAGCACCGCTGATGTCCTTTGCAGTAACTGGAGTGTAAGTGTCTCCTTTTTATACACACATGCTGTTTTTAATACTCTTAACATTGATTTCCTAGACTTTTCTCTAAGTGTTTATGAATGTTTATTTCACACTTGCAGCATAGGTGACAGTGAGTTGTTAATGAATGCTGAAGTAAATCAACTATAGAAAAGATGCAGTTCCAACTTTTTGTCCAGCATCTGTCAGTATTTTATTATGGCAGGCTACAGTGTTTGCAAAATACTCCACAAAGTATTTTTAGGTAGAATATATTTACTGTAAAAATGTTCTGCAGCGTATATGTCTTCTCCTTGATGTAAGTGAACTGCTTTTTCGATCAGCTGCTTTGAGTAAAATTTCACAGTAATCTCAACAAATTCTGTGCCTGTTGTGTCCCTGCAATTACAGAGTGCGTTGTGATTCACGTGAGACACACTGTTCACATTATCCTGATTTCTGTCATAGGCACGTCTTGTGATGGAAAAATACAGTGCATCAGTGGCTACCCGAGGGGTGATACATTCAAATATGTCCAGAGCCTTTGCCCATCACCAAGGAGGGATGGGATTCCGCCCTTTACATAAACCCCAGTGGTTCTTTATCAGTAGAAAGGTAAATGATTTTTTTTTTTAATTATTTTATTTTATTTTTTGAAGGGGAAGACAGTTGAATAATGTTGATGGTATTTGCTCAGAAATCCTGTTTTGAGATGAGCCACTTATAAAAAGCTCTTGGTTGAAGAGTTACATTTTATTATTCCTTTAATGGAAAAATCAATTGGAGGCCTCTGACAAAGTCTGATTCAAGTGTTCAAGTTGGCTCACTGCTGGGAGAGTCTTAATCCTAAATTAATGGAGACACAAGTATTCCTAGAAGTCAGTTTAAGATTTTATGCAGTTTAAATCATATTAAACTGTTGCATAAGTTTAAGAAATTACTGCTGGTTTGCATTTATCAGTAATAGACTGCTCATGAGATGCCAGAGCTCTTGACAGTTTTTTACATTTGAAGTGACACTTGCTGTATCTGGCCTGGGTGGGTGGAGGATTCTCTAATCAAAGGATAAATATTTCTGGAAATTTTAATTTCCAGAATTTAATTTTAAAAGGCAACAGTGAAGGATGTCACCATTTTTACAATCCGTATATGTTAACTGTAATGGCTTATGTTTTTTCTCTCATCCTATTTTTCAGTAGCCTGTATGTAGTCATCCAGCAGGCAAGGAGAAAGTCTGCCTTTTGCGGTAGAGAATATTTACGTTAATGATGATGTACCAGTTTTTTACTTGCATTTCTTTTCCTCCTAATTCTTACAGTATCAAGAAAATTGCCTTGCTGCAAAATCTCTCTTTTCAAGCTTCTGTTTACCACCTGAGTGTCTTCAGACTGAGCTATTGCCTTATCTTGCTATGTTGGCAAATCCAATGAGAAATCAAGGTAAATTGAGTGTAACTTTTAATCTTGGACTCTTCCTTTTTTTTTGTTTTTTTTTTTTTTTTGTAACTAAAGCATATGGTGCTATTTTGTAACCCCAGATGTCAATACTGGCTGTGCTTTTGCCTCAGTTAAGAAAATACTTATGGTAAATGCATATAAGTGATACCCCAGAATGTTTCTAGTAGCACAGCCAAAATTCAGGCTATCCTGATGGGTTTGAAACAGTATCAAGAACATTTAAAAAACTTAATGTAACTGAAATAATTCAAATAAGTATCTCTCTTGGCAGAAGTGAGACCTGTATGATGCTTTTAAAATGTATAAGATGAGGTCCTCATGTTGCAGTATTTGAAATCATTTTTCCCTTTTCCTGGTATGGATTTCTGGTATCTGTGCTTTTGAATTTCATCCTGTTGCCTTCTCACTCAGATTCTTCAGATTGTTGCACAGCTTTTCTGTCTGCCCAGATACTTACTAGCTTGTCTAACTTGGGTGGAATCACCAAACTGCTCATCTTGCTCTTCTTCCTTTTTTTTTCCACAGGGTTATGTTTAAGAATGTACTGAATAGCCAAGGTTCTAGTACAGATCTCTGTGGAACTGTATTGGCATTTTTTTTCCATTGCAGGCGTTAACTGTTAACCTTGTACCCCTCTCCCTGCTCTGTATTAATTAATTGCTTCTCAAACTTTATTAATGAAGGGGTTCTCTTAGGCTTCTTTTAAATCTAATAGAAGATTTGGTGAGAAGACTTTTGGAAACCTAGTAGGCAATATTAACTAGATCTGCACTGCTTATTTATCCTTTTCCGGTGTCATCAGCAGCCTTAAAAGGCTTTCAAAAGCCTTTCCTAGAAAAAGTGAACAAAATTCAAGTTTGCAGTGCATTCAAAAAATGTGTAACCTGAGGTAATCCAGTAGCAGACAGTTCATGTGGAAAAACATACTTTTGTGGTACATAATCATAAAATTGCTGTTTAGACATCTGGGTTGCTTATGCTATGTTAATTACTTCTACTAAAAGGCTTCATACCTAGGCTAAGGCCTTGACGCTGAGATGAATTAATTTTGTGGGCTGTGGAATAATAACTCTGCATCATAAATACACAGTTGATGAACATCACGGATTTTGTTTTTATTTTATGGGAATATGGCAGGCAGTTTGGAGAGTTTGGCAGTGTTTTGGTATCCAAAATAATGCAAATATATACAGGAATACTGGACTAAAGTTACAAATTATTTACTTTCCAGTAGTTGTGATTGTATGTGTGTTATGATCTACCCAATGTGATACTGGTGATTCTTTATTTTTTAGCTCAGATTGCTTTTATCCAGGATGTTGGGAGGCTACCACTGAAAAGACATCTTGGGAGGTAAACTGAAGTTCTGTCTTTTCTTAAAGAGAATAAGACTGTCTCCTCCTCCTTTTCCTTTCTCCTCACCTTCCTTCTATATTGAGGAAAAGAACCCTTTCATAGAGAAACATCTTCCATGCACATCTGTGATGTGACGAACCTAGTGCATGATCTGAATAAATATATTTTAATAATCGAAAACATTCATGTGAGAATAAAACTGAATTGATGCAGAGTATATGGTGCTCTGCCTATTGTTTATTGTGACATAATCATTAATCCGGACATTTCACAGAACATTCTGGGTTCATGTGTGTTAGGGGTGTGAGAAGAAAAGCATAACAGGGAATTACTCTTACTTCTTTGGGATATATTTACTGTTGTATATCTATGGAGCTACAAAATACTTAAATGAGTGCTTCCTCTGAGATAGCAACACTGGTTTTCATGTTGTGGATTTTTTGCCTACTGGACTACTTAGAGTAAACCTTCATTTAGAATGCATTTTTTAAATAAAACTATCCACTGAAGTTCCTCTGTCCTAGATGTTAAATAACTGAGTTACATTTCTATCACTTTGATATCTTTGAACTTCATCAACAGTTTTAATTGTGTTGGCCTGTTTCTAATAAAGGATCGAGATCACAGCTGGGATGAGAGTTAACTCTTTCATCCCTCAATCATGAGAGTTTGTTAGGGCATCTGACAAAACATTCCATATTGGTCACTGTGGAATTGCTGTCTGAGTTTAACTAAGGAATACTGGTGTGTAAACTGAAGGCTGTGTTACCCAAGAACCACCCTGTTCCCCAACAGTTGTGTTAAAAGGCCTTTTGGTTGCTAGGTGGGAAGCAAGCAGTGTCCCTAACAGGTGTATCTATTTGCAGTCTCCCTTGTCTGAGCCAGAATGTTTGTAATTTTAGAAATTAATTGTATTAATTGCCATTCACTTTGTCTGCAGCACACCTTTAAATACTGATCAGTGTTTCATATCTGTATTAATAAATTGGATGTGTGTCACTTAGGGTTTTATGTGACAGGTAATTTTCTCCTGAAAACATGGTAATCCTTTTTCATCTCTTCACTATTTTGGAAATGAAATACAGAGAGATGTAGGTAGTTTAGTAAGCATTTGCTTCCTCCAGGAATCCTAATTGAAAATAATTTGTGTTATTACGCACTTATTTTAATAACTTTTGTGCAGCTGTTTCAATGGAAATAAGAATCTTACATTTATTAATATTATAATACAGTTATATATCACTGTAATCATTTTATGCTATTGTAATAATATTACTATATTTAGCAATATTGTTTATATACCCACTTGTAGGATTGGGAATGGTACTGTAATGAGAAAACTGGCATTGAGGAGAGAGCACAGTGTTTGAATATCTGGGATTGGTGTCAGGATGAGTTTTTGTCACTAACTGTGTAAGTTTTATTCCAGGGTGGAGTGGGAAAAACAATAAAGGAACATTGGTAACTTGCTGGTAGAAAGATTGAGAAGTCAAAGAGATTTCCTTTCTATTCCATTTTCCTAATATTTATTTTTGATTTGCCGGTTCCATGTTAAGTTGCTTCCTGTCCTGAAGGATTTCGGTTTTGCTTGGAAAGGGTCTAGTGCACTGTGGGCTGTTGTCAGTAACTTAACTGGTCATGGTTCGTGTGTGTGAAGAAAGCTGAGGAAAACCACTGTCAGCAAAAAGTTCAGTTTCAAGGAACAATGCATACTAGGGTAGCCATGGAGCACAAACAGGATCTGGTGTTTTGCTGTTGCTATGTAGGGCAGAATTAACATTCCTGATGGAGGGTGTTACTGGTGAAAAATGAGAAAGCTATTAAGCACCAGTGAAGAAGGGTGGCCTGTGTGGTACACAGGCACTCTTTTCTCTTGCAGTTTCTGTGTGAAGGTGCAGGCATTTTGTCATGGTAACTGACTGTTGCACTCATAATTTTACAGGTTAAAGCTTGAAACACTTACTGATAAAGATCCTGGTATACCAGACTTATTTGTTAGCTCCGAGGGGGATGGTGCTGATGCTTATGCTGTGGAGGCGGCTGCAGAGGTGGAGAAAACCACGACAGATGAGGATGAATCAGGTGGATTCCCTCTCTCTTCTAGCCAGTGCAGTGGAAGTGAACTACCTTGCAGTCAGCCCCGGCCTGTTGCAGCTCAAGCAATCATGGAAGAAGACGAATTACAAATAGATGAATACGATAGTGACTGAGTACTACAAGACTGTACTGACTACTAACTTCCTTGAATGAATTCTTACGCTGGAGAGGCTTTTGCTAAAGAGAGTAAGGTCTGACCAATACTGCTTTAGGTACCTAGGCTTGGCCTCCCAGCCTACCTAAATGTGCTGTGTCAGCATCAAGACGGCTCTCTTCAGTGTCACATTGCAGTGTCAGTCCTGAGCTGAGTACTAAATTACAGGCTATTCATTGCCTCTACTGAGCCATGAAATAACCTATACTGAAAAAGAGGATAATGAATGATGACTGAAATTAGTTTGAGACTGTAGACAAGCAGTGTCACATTGAAATTATTTTTATTTTTTACACGTTTTAATTTGGTTTGCAGTTGTACAGTGTGTTTTCTGAGTACATGTTTGAAAATCTGTCAGCATTTGAAGGTTTTATTAAAATTCATACCTTCAAAAAAAAAAAAAATTATGGTTTGGAAGTTCGGCCCTTCAGAAAAAGAGGTTGAAGTGTACAGTCACCAGATTATTCTAGATTTCTTTTTGAAAGACACTTCCATATCTTATGGAGGGGAAAATACAACAGCCAAGCATAAGTCCTTCTCATCCTTTGTATTCCGTTGGAAGTTAATGGTGCAGTGTGCAGATTTTGTCCTGAAATTGCCATTGTGCCAGGGGAAAGAATAATCTCATTGTGGTAGACTGTTCAATATGTCAGCATTTTTCTGTAGCTGGGATTGCTCTGTGCAGGACAATCTAATATGTTGTGGTGGTTAATGATACCACAGGAGTAAGAAAAAATAATCAAAGCGACCATCTCTGAATGTGTAATGTGGATTTGAGTTTCTGTATTGCTTACACCTAAAGTTGAGTAGAAAAAAATATGTGCTTATTCAGCATGATGTTTGAATTAATGCTGCTGAGAAAAAGTCCAGCTTTGCACCCTCTTGAGGGACAGTTGTAGTCTTTCCATCTGTAGCTATTTAATTTTGAGGAGGGGAATTTACTCCTTATTCTTCTGTTACAGCTATTCTCACTACAGCAAAGGTAAAATGGTTTTGGCTGTTGGTGCCTCTCAGCACCTTTCCCCCTCTCCAGGGTGCCTTAGGTGGGGCACTCTGGGCAGGGAGTGCTGTAGCACAAACGGCAGTAAGGTTTTTTATACTGGTTTTTAATTTGCAAGCAAAACTGTAAGGTTCTTTGTATCTGTTCAGCTTTTCTTACAGTAGGACTGGGTAGCAGTAGTAGTAAGTAGACCTACTTTCACATCAACTGCTTTGCACTGCTATTGGCCTTCCCTTTCCTAAGCCAATATTCAGTACTCACCTGGTTCGCTATAAATTGTAGTAGTAGAAATTTATCACTATCAACTACATGTTCAGAGTAATTTGTGTAAAGCCTCTTTTCACATTAAAACAACATTAAGCATTATTCTCCTTAATAATCTCTTGTGTTTAAATGTATATGCTCTTGCCTCTGAATTGCAGTGGCATGCAGTATGTGAACAGGATGAAGTCCCAGATTGTTGAAGGGCTGGTGAGTAACCTATTAAAGGGAAGTGCTGGCAGCTGTTAACCTTGTGTAGCTGCAGGCAGGCTCAAGAATGAATGTCAGCACTATGCCTCCTTCTGGGTCCATTTTGGCTCTCTCAGCAATGTTAACAAAATTCCAAGGTGGAATTAAAAATGGCCCTTCAACCACCAGCAATTTAGGAGACACTGAGGAAGGAAAGAGATGTGGGGTTTTTTTTTAGTACAGTGAAAGAATTTCAGTGACGGCCTCTGTGAAACACCCCCGGTTTACATTTGAACCCATCCAGCACACTGTCTCTACATGTAATTGTCAGGTGGGGTGTGTTCAGTGCAGACAACGTTTTGTCACCAGCTGTGCGCATGTCAGCCCCGGGCCCCCTGTATCTAGGGAGATGCCTCTCCAAAGGGAGGGCAGCCTTGTTGCCAGAGAGGTGCTGGTCGTAGCCCACTTACACCTTTATGGCCACTTACAGATGGTCTCGTTGCAGCCAGAACAAAACTCAAGGGCAACGTGAAGGCAATGAGCCTCCTAAGCAAGATGTAAAAAAGAAAAGTTGAAGTCAAGATGATTTTTCCAACCCCTGGAACAGTCTGAGGGGCTGCCCCAGGGCTGTGGTGCAGAAAGATGGTCGAAAGAAGGGAAAGGCTGTCCCAGGATGAGAGAGGGGTTGGGGTGAGGTGTGTTCCTGAGGGAAACTCACCTCCTGGGTTTCCAGGAGGCTGTGGGAGCACCCAGCACTGGGAATGGTGGTAAGGGGGCTTCCTGAGGGAGTCGCTACTCCTGGCCCTGCAGGAGGCTGTGGATGCCACTGCTGGGGGTGTTGTGGGGAGTGGGAACGCGGGTCTGGGTCTGGGTCCACTCCTGGGTGAAGGAGCAGTCCAATGCCTGTGTGAGGCTGCCCAAGAGAATGGGAGAGGAGGGGGAAAGGGGAATAGGGTAGGGGAAAGGCAGTGGGGCTCCTTGCTCATGGGTTATCTTGCATCTTGGCCATTTTCCCCACCAGAACCTGGGGTGGTTGTGGGAGGAGGAGCAAAAAGAGGTGGTGGAGGAGAAGAAGGAGAATGAACAAAAGTAAAAGCAGAAGTTGCAGCAAAAGTGGGAGAAAAACAAGAAAAGCAGCAGCAAAAGCATTGGTACAGCAGGAGAAACAGAAGCAGAAAAACCGAAGAAGCAGAAGCCTAAGAAATCTGGAATGGTTTATACAGCGTATCTATAAGGTTTCAACATCTGATTACCAGTAAGATTGCATGTTCATCTCAAAATGAGTAATTTTGAACAACTTTTTTGAAAAGTACTGAAGTAAGTAACTTTGGGGTGACAGGAGCGACCATATCTGCTAGAGCCACCGTAAGGCCATGTGGAAGCATCAGCTCTCCCTCACGAGCGACACCAGCCAACACAGTGCCAGGAGCACATTCTGGACAGTGCCAGCCTGTTCAGTTCCTGTGCTTACTGCCTGTTACAAATAGCTCACAAAACTACAACTTTGCCAGTGCATGCATGTCCTAGCCTTCTCCATGTTTGGAATATCCTGTGTCAGGGACTTCAGAGAATGATCAGAAACAAAAACATGATGTTTAAAAGGTTCTACTTTTTCTATCCTTATTGGACTGACTTTAGTAATTGCTTCCTGCTCCTCAACAAAAGGATCATCCCAAAAACAGACTGGATGTGTCTGAAAACACGTTCCAAAAGAACACCACATACCTGCTTTTTTCTGGGATTTGGGGGCAAGTGGTGTCTGAGTGGTTGCTTTTGATTTGTTTCTTCCTTCATTTTAAACGTCCCTGAAAGATCCACTATTAGTGTTCACATCATCAGTTCCACTGCTATTACCTCCTCTTCCTACCCCTGATATGCTGAACCTTTCCCTTTCCACCTGCCCCTCACAGGAACACTCAATTTTATATTAAAGCATAGGCCTTTTTGTCCCCTGACCCTGATGAAACGAACTCTAACTGATCTTCAGGCTGTTGTTTTTCTCTGATTCTACCCCAGCAGCAGCTGGAGACTCTAAGTGGAAGAGGCATTTGTTGATCTCCTTCACTCCAGAGTCGATGGAGCACTGCTGTTGCTGCTGGCGTGCAGCCTCTTGCAGGGCTGGGAGAGTCCTGGAGGCTGGGGCCTTCTCTCTGGGGTCAGCAGGACCCTGCAGAGGGCGGCTTTTTGGTGGATACTGGCATGTACGTCAGGGAGTGCCTTCTCCAGTCACAGAAAACGTGAAGTTATCACTACAGTGATAACTGTAAACGTGAATTTATCACAAAACTTGCCGGTGTTGGTCACAAAATCATAGAATAGTTAGCGTTGGAAAGGACCTTAAGATCATCTAGTTCCAACCCCTCTGCCATGGGGAAGGACACCTCACACTAAACCACGTCACCCAAGGCTCTGTACAGCCTGGGCTTGAACACTGCAAGGGATGGAGCATTCACAATTTCTGTGGGCAACCCAATCCAGTGCCTCACCACAGTCACAGTAAACTTCTTTATATCCAATCTAAATTTCCCCTGTTTGAGTTTTAACCCATTATCCCTTGTTCTATCACTACAGTCCCTAATGAAGAGTCCATCCCCAGCATCCCTATAGCCCCCGTTCAGATACTGGAAGGCTGCTATGAGGTCTCCACGCAGACTTCTCTTCTCCAGGCTGAACAGCCCCTACTTTCTCAGCCTGTCTTCATATGGGAGGTGCTCCAGTCCCCTGATCATCCTCGTGGCCCTCCTCTGGACTTGTTCCAACAGTTCCATGTCCTTTTTATGTTGAGGACACCAGAACTGCACACAATACTCCAAGTGAGGTCTCACCAGAGCAGAGTAGAGGGGCAGGATCCCCTCCTTTGACCTGCTGGTCATGTTCCTTTTGAGCATTTGGTCAATGAGAAACTGAACATGAGCCGGCTTCAGTGTGCGCTCACAGCCCAGAAAGCAAACCATATCCTGGGCTGCATCAAAAGGAGCAGGACAGAGAAGGGAAAGGACAGGAGAAGTAGGCATTTATTTGGGAGTATTTGCTGGGCTTGGTTGGTTTTTGTTGGGTTTTTGTTGTTTTGTTTTTTTTTTTCATTTTACTTATTGTTTAAATTGATTTTAAAATTATCTACCTCTTTTCACAAGGATTTTCCAGCCAAGTGCAGTCATTTTAAAAGAGCTTTTAAAATCCTTTTGCATTATAGAAGTCTATTATATAAAAGCATGTATTAGTTTTCATGTAATACTATGAATACTATCTTCAGCCCAGTGGTCTCATCTAAACAAATCCAGTGGCTCCCTGGATTAAATCCTTTGCAAGCATTCAATATCATCCAAGTCTTAACAAGTTAGAAGAGCCATGAGGTGGAAGTTCACACCTGGAGGCAGGGAAATGAGAAACTTCCAGTACTTTTTACCAGCAGTGGTAGCCACCTGATGGTAAAAAGGGTCCTCAGACTGACAGGTACAGCTTCACTGACATGTCCATCTGGTGTATACACTGTACATTTCCCATCCTCAGTCCAAGTGAAGTGTCTCAACCTCACCCACGTGTTACTGGTACAGCCCAGATGCCCTACGGCCTTCCTTGGAACTTCTTGAACATGTGCATTTGTTGATCTCCTTCGCTCCAGAGTCAGTGGAGCACTGCTAGTGCTGCCGCTGTGCGGCCTCTTGCAGGGCTGGGAGAGTCCTGGGGGCCGGGGCCTTCTCTTTGGGGTCAGCAGGACCCTGCGGAGGGTGGCTGCAGCGGGATCTGCCGGTTCCAGGGCACAGGGTGCACTGACCCCCCCTTGTGACGTCGCGTGTGGCGAGGCCAGCCTGGCTCGTGCCTGGGGTCCTGCTGCGCACGCTGCAAGGTCTGCAGGGTCGAGCGAGGCTTCTCCTGTTGCTCTGGGTGCTCTGGGGCTGCTGTCAGCAGCACTCGCTGCCCATCCCAGAGCCATCACCAGTGTTTGCCTGGCCC